CCTGTCGAGGTCATCGACTGGTGAATGCCGGATGGGCGACCTCCATGCGTAGGAGGTGTTATGGGCCGTGGGGAACCTCGAAAAATACGACGGAAAGCCTCGCAGAGTCTCGTTGCTCTTCTTGAGGAGGGTCCCGCAAATTTGCTTGGACGGGTGGCCACCGTCTCAAGGACGCGAGGCTGTGGCGAGAAAGCAGACGGCGGCGCTGCAACATCCATTGCTGTTGTACGATACTGCATATGCCCCCCGCCCCCCCTCTCAGCGATGTGTTCTTCGCCGGCACCGTTCCGCGACGAACCACCACGACCCCTCCCCGCGCGGCTTGGGGAGGCGCTCATCCAGCAGTGGATTAGCAACAGGGTCGTGCCTCCGCGTGTGTACGTTGGCAACGCTCTGCTAATGCCTCGCTGTGCATATCACTGGCAACTACTACACGTGTGCCCCATTACATCAACGCAGTGGTATCCTTAGGCGGCTGTGGTACCACCCGGGCTTCTGGCACCGATTATCCACACACGCGCACACACAAATACAGTACACGATGGGACATTCTTAGGCTGAAAGGGCAGGAAGTAACAATGACTTTTAAACGCTCACCAGGAGCGATTTTAATCGCGCCGACCCTGTGGGGGCAACCGATAGCAAACCACGGCGTGGCTTTGCTACCGAGAATGCTAACTCAGCGCCCGCCAGCACCGCGCCCGACACGACAAACCGTGCCCTGTGCTCGTGTTAGAGGAGTTTCAGGGCATGGATCCACGCCGGTGGTCTATCCGTTCACGACAGGAGTTGAGGGGAGGGGGATCCCTTTTCTTACCGCGGTGCAGATACGACTTGAAAATAACGTTGGAGGCACCAACAAACAGTAACACACATCACAGTGTTCGAGCCAAATCAGGAATTGTCCGCTCCCTCTAAGTAGCCGATCAGTGACGCCAAGATGCTACTTGCAGTGATGGATAAACTCGAAGCGGTAGGCCCTCAATGTCGGCGCGGACCGTATGGAACGAGGTCGTGGGCCGTGGGTTGCTGACCGCCCGCTCCGCACAAAGGGCCCGAGATGATTCGTTTCCCTGCGGGCGCATTACAAAATGTGAGTTGTTTACCCACACGGGATGTGCTGAATGTTGCGTTGCGCGACTTACTTATTTATTTACCGGACCAAAAAATTTTCCCCTGTCTCTCATTGCCAACGACGTGTGGCAAATCTACCACAATCATCTTGCAAGTCGCCAAGGCGGTGGCGGCGGTGGGAGGTGGGGGAGGGGAGGCTGTATCTTGTGGGCACTTTCTTTTTCGACATGGAAATCTGGCCCTCGGAGCGTGTCATCTCGTACGACGGTTTTTGTACTCAGGGCGGAGGCAATCACAAATGAAGACGGACATGAGGAGGCCGCGACCCAGAGAGATTCGGGGTTCACGTCACACACACGGACAGGAAACAGCGGCGTGGCAAGATACACGCCTTGCGGTTTCACGCGTTCCCATCACACTGTGCCCGGCCGCCGCCACGGCCCATCAAAAACAAAACCCCAAATAAGCCCGGGCAGATCAGAGACGGCAGCAGAGAGCGAGAGAGCGATGCGGATGGGACAGCGCTGGCATGCCACGGGGATTTTGAGAGGAAGGGGAAAACGATGTTGAGGCAAACGCTGAGAAATGCCGGAGGACATCGTAAAGTCCTCGTCACGCCGCCGCACCCCGTGTGAGATTTTCACGGCTGTGCTGCCGAATTGCTCTCCCCCGGCGCGCTTGCGGGGAGAGCTGTGCGGCGTCCGACGTTTCGCTCCACGTGCCGGCAGCTTCTTCGGCAAGGAAATGGAAGGACATCTTAAGAAAAAACGCCAAAAAGTCCTCAACAAAAAAAACCTTCCGATGTCTCAAAGTCTGCACCGAAGGCGCCTGACACAGCGATCGAGATAAGCGGCTCGTAAAGTGAATGCGCCATAAATGCCGGCGCTAACCGTAGTGACGGAGCGGACGTACCCGGGAGATTACTCATTAACTGCGGCGATGACCGCAAAGAGCAAGGGCCGACAGCGACGTCTGGCCCCTCCGAAGCACGCGGCGTCAATAATTGAAGGAGGCCGAAAAAGTCGAAGACATCGCACGCACGCACAGGCGCGAAAACACGAGACGAGACGGCGAGCACATGTGGCTACATTCAGCGAAAAAGTGACCCCGAGGTTTGGGGGTTTAAGGATGCGTCGATTCGGATCGCTTTAAAGCTGGGACGTTATATGAAGCTTCGAGTCGATTACTCCTTGAAAAATGTTAATCAACTGATAGGACCCACATCTTAAGTGTGTGTATGGCAAACCTCTTTCGCACAGTACGTAGCCAACCGTGCTAACAAAGAGAGGGGTCCTTGCCTTGCACCATCTGACAATTCGTCAGCATTTGGTTCGAGCAAGCGTGGCTCTACTGATGAGACGACTTTATATCGACACCTGTGCAAAGTTTGCTTGTGTTGAATCAATGCCGCTGAAATGATGCCCGTACAGAAGGCCGCGTGGTTGACAGATGTGTGAAGGAGAGAAATCGTCATCTTGCTTTCATAACACAGGGTTTTTTTTGGGTTAGATTGCGTAAATATAAATGCGTCGTTAAACCCGCCGCAGCCAATAAATAAGGTTTGTTGATATTGGTTGCGAAAACCTACGTGCTAAATCGTCGTCCTGCTTGTTTATTTTGTTACTTTTATTGGGGTCGACTACTTTGGGGCTACTCGAAAAATGACAGCGCCTCCCTCCCCCCACCACCCCCACCGAGTGATACCTCAACTGGCAGCCCCCATTCACTAAACCCGCACTGACCACTGTGGTGAAGTATGGTCAAACAACCTCAATGACTGACGTTGCACTGTGACTGTAGGTGTCACGGGTCCACGTGACACGCCACTAGAGGCCGCTATACTCGCCGCAATGTAAAAACATTAATAAACTTACTCTCAATCGTGAGTCACGAACATCCATTGTCACGAGCTGGTGAATCATTACACCCCTAACCCCGAGTAGTTTACCTTGGCTTGGTATTAAACTAAACATCATTCATTGACTGTAGGACGCGTTTATTATTACCTGTCACTGGCCCAACTTTCTGGAACCTGAGGGCCTCAAAAAACGACACAACGGCTCTAAAGTCCTGGGGCTGGAGTTGAACTGCGTCTGGTGATGGTGCCACCTAGAAAAACACCACTGCTGAGCAAGGCGCGGGGGAGAAGCCACCTCGATCAGCCTTGCGCGGTCGAGGTTCAAGATGCCGAGCGGGGCGGAGTGCGGAGCCGTGAGAGAGAGAGGGGGAGTTGAGATCGGATGGGACGGAGGGAGCGTGAGATGTGGGTAGAGAACTTAACACGTTGACGTAGGGAGCCACGGCCTGAGAGAAACACTGTGCATCCAACATTCCCACGGACTTGCATGAAGACCCGTAGACTTACACACTTCTATAGGGACCTGCATACAGTACTTCCACCGCGAGATCCACAGACTTACAAAGTGACCCGGTTACTTCCATAGCCTTACATCGAGAACTATAGACGTACCTGAACTTTCAAAGCGAGCCGTGGCCTTATATAGATATTTCAATCGAGATCCATATCTTATTTTATATTTGTAGAGCGCCTTTACTCATACCGACACATTGACGAACACAGAACCAAATCGATGTAATTGATGCTGCTGCTGCTGCGTTGGCCTTAAAATAAAATACGTCATTGGCGACGTTTCGGGCAATGGCCCTTCATAGCACGTGAACATAGCGCTACAGAGACGTATACAGCATGAGGCCCTGACACTCAACACGTGGGTAATTAATGCAGTATAGTTGACTGAAAGCCACGAAGCCTGCTGCTATGCTCAACCTATTAGTGGGGGAGCACTTGCAATGCATACTATTTACATCGCATCCCTTTGTCAATCCACTGCTCGATGAAGGCCTCACCGTGCCTCGTTGGTCACGGGGGTTGTCTGAACATACTTCGCCACGCTGGTCAATCCGGGTTCGTGGAGGTGACGGAGAAGGGCCCGGGGATCGGTTCCGGATGTCATTTGCCACTGATGTTGGAGTCGTGGTTAGGAATCGAACTCGGGTTTCTGGGTTCCTAGTGCAGCGCGTAAATCAACAATACCTGCAGCACCAGCTCCTCCACCGAGCGGTAATTATTGTAACTTTGTAATTATTTGTTAAAATAGATCACAAACGAGGCCGTCAGTCCAGGGGTTGCAATCCAGAGTCCGTCCTCAGGTTCAATACGATCTCCCGGCGCGGCATGAAGTGTACACGGGCACACTACGGACAGGCGATCCGGCAAGCATGGCGCGCCTGTGTGGTGGGATCAAATGTGGGACCCGTACTCCCATCTCTTCCGAGTCGTCTCTGGGGGGTGGTTATTGTTATTGGGCAGCAGCAGAGGCGTGAGCGGGCAATTTCACAGCTGCACATTTGCCTTTTGTGACTTGAGCAGAACGCGACTCCCCCTCTGCTGCTCTGTGCGTCGTGCCGTCTCTCACTCTCATTCACTCCATCCACCTTCTCCGACCTCTACAGTTCATGTGATATGAATAAGGCCCATTGCCCGAAACGTCGCCTATTATATATTTGTCCTTTTACAGCCACGCGAACGTGTTTGAGTGTTGTTGTTCTCTGTGCGTGTGCACCACTGCCAACGCAGCAGCAGCAATAGGCAAGATAAGTTGTACGTGTTTGTGAACTTTAGCAGCAACAGTGGTAACTGAGGGAGAGAAGAACGGGGAGGGAGTAAGAGGTGGTGGTGGGGAGGAGTAGGAGGAGGTGGAGGTCTGGCGTGAAGGGGAGCTTGCCGGCGGGGGTGTCGGCGGTGAGGTGAATGACACGGGAGGTTTGTGGAGAGAGAACGAGGGAGGACCCCAAAGGGGCAGACGAATCGTGGAGGCAGCGCGAACACAATCCGTGGTCGCCTGTGGTCCTCCCTGGAACCCCCCCCCCATCACCCCTTCCCCGCCCCCCACCACCACCACCAGGACTGTGAGAGCGACACAGCGCCGGCACCACCGCGGGCAGACGAAGCGGCCGGGCTGACACCATGAACAAGGTCAGTGCTGAGTGGACCCGAGGCGACTGTGCACGTTGCGATGGATTTGCCGCGGCTGCTGCTTGCCCTGTAACTCGAGTACTCGCGACACCCCCCCCCCCCTCAAACGATGCGTCCTCGTCCTCCGTATTTACCGAATCGTCTCCGCGTGGAACTTGGTAGTGCGCTGCACACGCCCGATGCTTGCTCAACACGTTGTCGTTCCCACGTGACGCCCCACGTGGCGTCGTAGAGGGACTCATTCAAGTGGGCTCCGCTCACCTCCAATGACGAGTGGCGAGTATTTGAACCGGTGTCGAGCCTCCCCTAGGTCGACTCGGCCTTAAATAAGCGCAGTATCTGGCGCGGTGTGCAGACAGCACCACCCTGGTGCTACCGGCGAACAGCACTTGCGCGACAGTCTGTTAACGTCGTTCTCCCCCTCCCCCCCACGTGACCTAAATACCAGCAGCACTTCATGTGGCCTCTTAAAGTGCACCTAGCCTGGCACAAGCGTCGCGGTGTCGTTTAATGCTACATCCGCGTTCTGACAGGAACGCTGTGGCCACGTGCTCACGCGTTCATGCGTTAAGAAGGCCCTTGACCCACCACCCCCCCTGCAGTCACGCGTCTTGTTTGACTTGTTTACACGTATACTGTAGCGTAGACGCAACGTTATTACACCAGTTGGTTCGCTTCATGAGCCTTGATATAACATACCGGTCAACCCATACAGTTTACCCCGTATTCTTGTACAGGGAAATTTAGTTTTCAGTTCCATACGGCATACAGCCGTTTCAATACGGCCAAAAAAGTGTCTATTTGTTTGTGTTTCTCTCTTGTTATGGAACTTTGTAGGATGAACTTTGAGATTTATCAGGGCACGGGGTGACTAATAAGGTCTGAATTGGTCTCAAATAAGGTAGGCACATATTCTATGGTCTTCCTAAGATTCATAAAGAAGGTACCCCACTACGGCCCATCGTGTCCACGATCAACTCACCTACCTACAAGCTAGCCCGTTTTCTATCGGACACTCTGCTTCCCTTCACTGGCAAGACCACCTCAGCAGTACTTAACTCAACCCACTTGGTCTCTCTATTTAAGGACATTGTACTGTCTCCTGATGATGCCCTCGTCAGCTTTCACCAAGGTTCCAGTGCCTTACACCATAACAATAATTGAAGACTTAGTCCAACTTGGACTGAACCCGGATGTCCCTGCGCTGGTTAGGCACTGCCTCACCAACACGTACTTCACCTGGAATGGTACCTTCTACAAACAAAATGAGGGTACCCCAATGGGTTCCCCCTTGTCACCAATGATAGCCAATGTTTTTATGGAGAAATTTGAAACAGACGCCATCCAGACATCCACCCTACGTCCTTCCCTGTGGAAGAGATATGTGGATGACACTTTCGTCATTTGGCCACATGGCCTCCCAGCATTGAACCAATTTCTAGACCACATCAATTCCCTAAACCCATCCATCAAATTCACCATAGAAGTAGAGAAGGATGGCAAGCTACCATTCTTGGATGTTCTGTTTGAGAGGAGGCCCAATGGCTCTTTGGGACATTCTGTTTACAGGAAGGCCACCCACACAGATTCCTACTTGAAGCCTGATTCCCACCACCATCCGGCACAAAAGAATTCCCTCATCAAAACACTATACGATAGGGCCCACTGCATCTCTGACCAACACCACCTGGCCAGTGAATTAAAACATGTACATCTGGCCCTCAAGATGAACGGATACTCGGACCTTGCTATCCGCCAAGCTGTTGCTCCTACCGGGGAGAAACAACCCCCTGAGACTCCGATCAAAATCATTACGTTGCCATACATAGCAGGCGTTACCAAAAAGATTTCCAAAATTCTAAACAAACACAAGATTTAGGTCCGATTCAGTACAGTACACAAAATCCGTAGTCTGATCCCATCCGTAAAGGATGTCATTCCTGACTTACAGTACCCTGGTGTCTACAAACTGAGTTGCACCTGTGGTGATTGCCATATCGGGGAAACGAAACGACATTTTTGATCGCATTCGCGAGCCCAAGTCAGATTTAAAACACGGTAGGACGAATTCTTCTGCTGTAGCCGATCATTGTTTCAACACAGCAGGTTCTCATGATATTTATACTCTTTAAGCTTCAAATCTAGAATCTCATGATATTGTTTTCTCCGATACCAAAGTACTCTGCAAGCCGTCTGGATACTACCAAAGATTTGTCCATGAAGCCATCCAGATATACAAACATAGACACAACTTCAACCGAGAGGATGGTTTTAAATTAAGCAATAATTGGAAGGATTTCATCAACCAAGTCAAACTTTAGCTGCCTTGTAATTTTACAGCCATATCCATATTTCCAGTTTTTTACTCCCAGCCTGATACACCACCATTACTCGTCTTACCGGCACTGTAGTCATACTCAACCTCCCCTCCCCTGGCATCACAAAGAAAAAAGATGGTTATCTATCGGCTTAACTCATGTTAATCCCCTGCCCAACCGCCCGCGATGCTACACGGCCTGCCGCATGCTCCCCCCCTAACACCCTATATAAACACGTTGTCTCTGAAGAGCTCTCTTCATACGCTACAGTAATTTTGCTGGAGCAGACATACCTGATGACGGATGCTTGTGTTCCTTCCAAAACGTCGTGATTTAATTTAGTTGTTTTTTCTTTTCTTTTTTTACCTACGTGACTTTATCGAAAAAACCAAAGAGTATGAATCCTTGCAGTCACGAAAACTTCTAGAGAAAAAAAATCTAGAAAGGTATGCAGTTACATATGATGCACTATGCGATGCAGCCTTCTAGTCAATCCACTGCTGGTTCACGCCGTTGCATTTCCCCACGCCGTGTCCGTCATGGAGGTTGTTTGACCATATTTCACCGCGCTGGTCAGTGCTGGGTTGGTTCAGCTATCGCTTGCCACTGAAGCTTGTCGTGGTCCGGGAATCGAATCGAAGTGGCCAGCTTCATGCGCTGGCCAATGTGCCACACAATTCCATCGAGACCAAAATTAGATACGTGCATTGTGAGCGAAGGAGCGATTTTCATCGATTGTAGTCGATTAACCGATGCGGCTTTAACCGATGTGTCAAGCCGACGACGAATAATCATCCGGGATTTCACCCCGATCCCGGTCGAGTTTCCACCCACGGCTCGGCCAGCCCCAGCGATTTCCCCGAGAATAAAATGGAGTAAAACAGAAAGCCGGACCCCATTTTGAAAGCGGGACCCAAATCCATCACCGATTTAATTCAAAGCGCCGCACCGGGGATCGGCCTTTCTTGGGACGGCCTTTCTTGGGATGGCCTTTCTGAAATCACCGTGGGGACTGTCCCAGGACAACCGGGCAGTTTGATGGCCCACGCCGAACGCGTGGCCGCGGTACTGGACGATCGAGCCCGGCTGGCTCAGCGGTAGAGAGCGAGACCGCCCGCTATCGGAAGGTTGCGAGTTCAACTCCTGGGTGTGTGCATACCTGGCAACCCCTTACCAGTGCCTACCTTATTAGAGACCAATTCAGACCTTATTTGTCACCCCGTGTCCTTAGACATCTCAACGTTCACCCTACAAAGTCCCATCACAAGGGAAGAAACAGAAAACTGACTAAAACAAATTGCCCGCATTGAAACGGCTGTACGCCGTCTGGACCTAAAAAAATGAATTTCCCTGTACAAGAATACGAGTTAAACTGTATGGGTTGACAGGTATGTGTATGTATGTTGAACTTGCTTCGATTGGGGGGGGGGGTGCAGGTTAACCCAGTCCATCATCGATCCGGGGTGGTTAAAGTGAAAACCACTGCGGGAGACGTCAACAACGCTTGCCATATGGAAGGAAAAGGCCCCCTGCCATGGGACTGTGTCGCACACCTGTGTGTCACACCTGTGTCTGTCACACACCTGTGTATGTCACACACCTGTGTGTCTCACCTCTGTGTCACACCTGTGTCTGTCACACACCTGTGTGTCACATCTGTGTGTCACACCTGTGTCTGTCACACACCTGTGTATGTCACACACCTGTGTGTCTCACCTGTGTGTCTCACCTCTGTGTCTGTCACACACCTGTGTGTCACACCTGTGCGACAGACCTGTGCGACAGACACAGGTGTGTGACACACACCTGTGTGTGTCGCACATGCCCGGTGCACGCTCGCTGGAGCCAACTTAGCGGTGCTCAATATTTTCTTTGTGGGGGGGAAGGGGATTTCTCACGTGCCAATTGTGTTTTTTTTTACCTCGTCATTTTCTATTTGCTGCATTGTTGCGCTTTGGTTGTATTTGTTTCGTTTCTGTCATCTTGTTGACCCAGGTCACTCTTGCCGTAACGCGGCCTGGGGCGGAGGCGGCGGCAGCGATTATTCCTGCGGCGTCTGCTTCAGAGTGGACATTAAACACCCCCCCCCCCCCTGATGTCATACGCAAGCGGAGGGAAATTTACGAAATTGGAGAAATTACCAGCAAATGTACTGCTCAATTGGGATTGTACACCACCCACAGCAGTCATCACCCCCCCACCAACTGTCACGTTGATGCCCCCAGGGACACTCTGGCCAATGAGACTCATCCCACTCTCCCGAGTTCTCACCCGGGTCAACAAACTAAACTACCAATTTGAAATTCCAGGTGCTACGAGGAGTTCTGGTGGCGCTGGCCGTCGCCGTGGTGATCACCCTCATCGTGGTGCTGCCCCTGGTGATTCTCCAAAGCTCAGGCGAGTCCTCGCTGCCCTCGCCGGCACGCCCAGCACCGCAGGCAGACCGCAAACCCTCACCGCATCGAGGAGTCTCACGACCCCGTGGTCCGTCTCCTCCTTTGCGTTGCAGACAATCCGGTGGACGAGAGGAAAACGTTCACCCTGGACGACTACTTCGCTGGGAGATACAACCCCAGGTCGTTCGGTCTGGAGTGGATAACAGGTCAGGGGTGGGGGGGTTGCGGGGAGAGGCTCTGATGGGCATTGCTCGTTCACCTGCTTTATGATTGATGATTATTGACGACTGAAGATGATGATGAAACGGTAATCGTCCTCCTCGCTGTTGTTGTTTTGCTCCACCCGACAGACGACGAGTACATCTACAAAGACAGCAATGGCAACGTCCAGAAGAAGAAAGTCGGTGGGGACCCCAGACCGACGGAGTTCATCTCCAACTCCACGTTCGTGAGTGGCGCCTCTGGCGGAGCTGCGACGTTCACGCTGGGAACTCGTGGCCTGTGGGGGGCTCTGTGTAGAGCCGCGATTGGGGGTGGGGGTCCCCTGTTGGGGCCGTCCCCCACAACCTTACCCCATTGCCACGAGCCACGGCGCTCGAGTGAGTACATCGCCCCGGTCACTCTGCCCCATCGTCCGTGCAACTAAACTCGCGTCTTCTCTTTTGCCTGTGCTCCACCAATCAGGAAGAAAAGCAGGCGTCAGGATTCCTCGTCGCCCCGGATCAGCTGTACGTCCTCCTGGAGAGCAACTACTCAAAGGTGCAGAGCACCGCGAGGGAGGGACACGTGGGGGGAGGGGGGGGGGCGGGGGGGGGCTCTTCATTCTTCTCTCTCTCTTTCCACATCCTCCTGACGTCTCCTCGTATATCGATTCATAGGCAATCTCTTCGGGCGGATTGGTAGTCAATCGGCTCGAAGTCACCTTCCACCTTCCACCACTGCCGCACATGGCCAAACGAATCTGGACGTCACGCAAGGCAAACGTGCCGACCGATTTTCAGCAAAAACCGGTTTTGTTGAAAATCGCCCATATTTTTCCGGAAGTGACAACTCGATTCGTTCGGCCGTCGGGTGGCTGAGGGCACACAACACAGCTCCAGGGTGGACAAAGGCAACGTTCGAAATGTCGTCGTCGCCGGCATTTGTGATTTGCAGCTACTTTGTCAACCCACCGCTGACACAAGCGCTGAACGGAGTCACGATACGATCTACTGCGAGTAGCAGCGCGATCTTGTCTCCCGTGGGGTTCTGCTCCGACTCCCGCACCCCGTCCCCCCCCCCCGTCGATTAGGAAAGGGGCTCCGTCGTTTAATTGGTGCTTTTATTTTTACATTTTGATCCAGCCCCCTCTCCGGGCAACTGCACATCGTGCGTATATTACCATCATCATCATCATCACACGAAGTTTGCTAATTGCTAGAAGGAAGATCAGTCTGTGTGTGTGTGTGTGCGAGCAGTCTCTGCAACACGTGGTTCACAGTCATGAGAATGTAGATGGAGTGCTCGAGTCAATAACATCTGGTAACCCCGCAGCAGTTATTTAACAAGTCTGACGCTGCCAATGAGAGCTATAAGGCTGAAACCGGCCCAGAGTCTGTTTAAACAAATTCTGCTGGGTTATACTGGAAAGTTAATTGGACGATGGATTAAAATAAAATTGTATTCGGGAGACACACAGTGGAATTTTGCTTGTATTTGCTTTTACCCACAATGCTCCTCACCACCAGCACATCCCGAGTTGGTATAGAATACTTGAAGTCACTTTTGTGTAACCGGTCGACAGAGGCCCATTGAGACGCATGACGCGTCGCCTCTTTAGCAAGGGCGACCTTGGTTACCAACAAATTATTTAATGCGCTAAGAAGCAGGCCCATTGCTCAAAACATCGCCCGTTTATACATTGTGCCTTTTTAAACCACAGCATCATTTACGGACATGTTGAGTGGTTTTATTTCTCCGTTGTGGGTCACACCCAAGTCACTTTGAACACACGGGACATCTACGCGCATTTTTTATTGAACAAATCACAACTAATTCCAACGATAATTCTACACAAATTTGAATGAGGCCAAGTCAAGACATTTTTGAAGAGGGGTTGAGCTTTGAGCGGGAGAGGGGGGGGGGGCTCAGCCCCCCGCCACCCACCCCCTCCTCCCCCCACTCGCCTCCCCCCCCCCACTGAGTACAGGGCTGACACAATCGCCCAAGGAACGAGATAACATCTTGGGTTGCCAGCTCGACTGCTGGGGGCACACAGGGCAGGGCATGGCCGCGCTCACAATGGGAGCGCGCGCTGCCCGATTGTACCGCCTGTTGAACCGCCCGCAACCCTGCCGATATTTAACTCCGACTCGAAGTGACCCCGTGGGTAATATTTAACCAGCAGAGGAGCCCACGGGCGAGGGAGACCTGGGAGAGAGAACAAACGTCTGTAAACAAGTCAATTGCACCGTTTCACAACCATAGAATCGAAGCAAATGTGCCAAATCATCATTTCACAACTCCAGTCCACACGGCGACCCCCCCCCCCCCCATCAGCACTCCCCCCCTCGTACAGATTTTCGTGATTACCAACCATCAGGTGCGTGGGGAGTGCAGTGGCTACTTTACCTGCTTCACGTGGACTGAGCGAAAACCGCTCGTTCACCGCTGTTAACCGCGTCCGGGAATTAAACTCAGCTGGCTGGCTTCATTTTAGAGTGTGCTAACCGCTGCGCCACCGCTCCCCCACCTCTGTTCACTTATTTACTGCTCTCATAGACTCCGTGAGCCGCAGGCCGATTTGTTGACTCTCTAAAGCCATAGGTTGTAAGACACGCTTAGGAAAGCTATCGGCCTGGTGGTGTGGAAGGCATGGGCCCGGCTGTAAGGAATTAAATGGGAAGGGGGAGTTGCCCAGTGGCTGGGCCCCCTTTGGCCCGCGGTTTCTGGTGCATTTGCCCTTCTGCCACTGTCCCAGCCTCGTGCCATTCGTTACCAGGGTCTCCACCCTCAGGAAGGACGAAAGCACCAGGGATATTCGTATTTAATTCTTCGTTTTAACCGGATGAGAACTCAAAGAGACCCAGGATGAGTCTCATCTGCAAGAGCGACCCGAGGCTTTTGCATGCCAGCAGGGGGGGGGGGCGCGTTTATTGCGGTGTGTAGTCAAGTAAATAAATTCGAGTAACTTTCTAACAATGGCAAATTTGGATCCTGACCACACAATGACCTTCGGGTGCGAACGACGTCAGAGGACCTTTAACGTCCACCGTGAGTGAAGCGGACGGCGACCCCGTAGCTCCGTTGCGGGTTAATGCGCCCGCGGTAGCGACAAGGGCGGCCGCCGGGTTGGAACCGCGAACCTCCGCGACGAGCGGCGAACGCGCTCCCGCCAGGCCAGCGTCACCGCCGCTCCTTCCGGAGACGGCGCGGCCGTGGCAGCGCACGGCCGCGTAGACGCACGGAGAGAGTGAGCGAGAGAGAGCACAACACAGAGAGCACGCGTGCGCGCCGCCGACGCATCGCAACACACCGCAACATTCCACAGGGGCCGGCAAAGTGGCCTCTGGGTCGGAGAGCGGACACCGCTTGCGCGGGGTTCGTCACGGCCGTGCTGCTGCCGCACGGCTCCCCGATGGGGTTCTCACGGGCGGCGGGGCCACCGCCGCCCGTCGGTCGGCACGACGCCCCACCACGACGCTTCTTCGGAACCGATTCCGTTCGTTGTGGTGCACGGACGAAACGTCGGACGTCGTGCCGAGCAACGCGCGGTACACAAACCTGAGAGCGTGTCGGAGAGCGGAAACCCCTGACCTTCTGGCAGACCGGAGCTGGATTATGGGCGACATTTCATTCCCATTCCCCCCATGAAGGACACGCACCGCACTTTGAATCCGCCGACCTGAGTTTGAGTCCCGGCCGTGGCTAATGTCAGCGGCGAGTGAGATCTAAACCAGACCAGGTATCGTCCAGCATTCACGTCCCGGGAGTTTCATCAGCCCGGCAGACGTAGAGCGGATTGCATAAGCCGGTAAGAAGTTTGAGATAACTGATTGTCAAAGCATCACCGATGCGTCCACGATTACCACGGTTAATAAATTGATGACGACTATGGTTTATGATAACAATGATGATGGTGATAATGTTTCCCCCCGCCCCCCCCTCTGTGTTGTTACAGTTGTGGAGGTATTCATACTATGCGTCATACCACATATACGACCTCCAAAATACGTAAGTAGGTGCCCCCCACTGCACACGTTGGGCCATTGCTTTGCTATTTGTGACTGTATAACGATGGACGCATCGGTTCGTAGGAAAAAATCCAATTTCTGGAGCTCACGATAGAAGCGTGGAGTTGCATGCCCTGGGATCGATGCTTTTCGGTTTGAGTGCTGAATGGGTTCCCATCGCCGCTGCAGCCAATAAGAAATGGGAATTGAATCTTCAATTGAATGGCGAGGCCCTGAATATTTGACCTCACCTGACATTGCTGCCGGTGCGGGTTGGAGGAGGTAGGCAGCATAGACGCCGGTATCATAGTACAGCACAACGGTGGATTTTTCCGCACTGTCCTCTGCTGTCCACAACCTCGCCCCGTGGGCCAGTTGCATTAACAATGCCGTCATTATTTTAACTGTTTAATTGTAACAATATAACAATAGGTTTTACCATTTCTTTCAATGAAACACGTGTCAAGATGTTAAAACACCAAACAGAATCCTTATTCAAGGAATCCTGTCTGCATTAACCACACGTACTTGTTGTGCACATGCAAACAAATCGTCACCGCTTTCTACTGGACATCTGTGAAATCTGCCGGACATCCGTGAAAAAGAGCTTCATAGCTCATCGGATTCCTCCAGTCTAAATAAAAATCGTGACCTGCTTCGAAAGCCATAAAGCGCGAGGAATTCCACCGTGCTGGTCTACCCAGCAGGCCACCGGGCCCCACGGAGGGTGACGATGGTGGCGTCTTGTTGTTTTCGTCCTCCGCAGGAGATTTGTGGAGGACAGCCCGCTGCCGCACGAAATCCAGTACATCACGTGGTCTCCCAGCGGCCACAATTTGGTAAGAATTCGCCGGCTCACGCGGCAAACCACTCGAGCTGCAATTACCCGAAGCTGCACAATCTGTATATTATCGACGCCATCATTATCGTCGTCATCATTACTATCATCATCACCGTCGTCGTCATCATCCATGATAACGACAACGGTAAGCACGTGACGTTTAGAAGTAAATTAAAACGACGGTGATGGGACAGCGACACCGAGGCTGAGCGACGTAATGGGAGAACGAACTTCGTACTCGTCAGGCGAGGCCATCGGCGCGCTTCCGTCAAATCTGTTCATGGGCGCCGTTAAAAGCGAGGCAGTCCAGCGGCACCTCTTGCGTGCGAGACAATCCGCTTCCTTTTCAACGTTCCCTCCTCCAGTGTCGTTGAATAATCTAATCAATCGGCGTAGATGGCCACGTGACACCTTAATTTGATGAAGGGTTATAAGTAATAATGAACATTATACCTACATGATGATCTAGGCCAAACCAAACTAATTATGAATCATGATATTATTAGTGAAAGCATACGTATAAACTTAATTACAAGCTGTTTTCAGAAAATTGGATGGGTGCAATAAATCTATAAATGTTTTAGGTTACTAAAAAAGAAAGTGAGATTATTCATAATTAATATGTGGGTCATAACGCCGCGTGAGTAAAACATCAACGTGTGGCGTAGAACCTCCTCCACCCGACACGGCAAAATAAATTAAGTCACGCGATGAACAAAGCGGTGGTCGCTGCTGGAGAACGATCCGGGATGGGTGTTTGACAATCGCGTGCGCACGTTTCTCTGGCAGTTGTTGCAAGCAAGCTTCGTCGGATCCGAAAAAAATCAATTGCGAACGAAAACATCGGTCACGATTGCCTGCGTGTTAAAAAAACAATATTTCACGATGCTCTAAAAAAAAAAATCTACTAACGGAAAACTAAAATCAGATTGCGGGCCGTCGTGGTGCTCTCTTAGGCCTACGTGTTCGAAAGCAATGTCTACCTCAAGACAAACCTGACGGGCCCAGCAGTGAAGGTCACGACCAGCGGCGCATACAGCCAAGTCTACAACGGCATCCCCGACTGGGTCTATGAGGGTGAGGCGCCTCGCACCAAAGATTCCCGACGCGGGCACCCCTTGTCTGCGTGGACTTTGTACGTTCTCTCTCTCCTCCCTGTTCACCATGGCTTACCTCCGGGCTCTCTGCCTTTCTCCCAGAGATAAACAAAACCATACAACTGGTGTGGCATGGGTAAAATGTGGCTAACTCCCACCCCCTCTTGCCAGGACCGTCTGGCCAGCGTGAAAGTGTGGACACAACCTCGAGAGGGGGGCCCCTCTCTAGACACCATCTAGCAGAGGCCCTTCCGCCAGCAGCGGCGTGAGCGAGCGGTTGCAGGACCGCGCCTTTACCCCCCCCCCTCCCACCCCCCCCCCCCCGTGCCGGTACCATGCAGAGGAGATGCTCGGCAGCAACAACGCCATGTGGTGGTCACCGGACGGGCAGCACCTCGCCTACGCCGAGTTCAACGACACGGAGGTGCCGTTCATAGAGTACACATTCTTCGGCGAGGAGCAGTATCCCAAGACCATCGGGGTGCCGTACCCTAAGGTGAGGGGAAGGAGGCGACGCTCTCATGTGGCGTTAAACCTACACCACCCGACACAGCCGACTAGTAAGGTCTGGAAAGTAAACAAAACGTGGCAATTAGTCTCTAGGTCAGCACACCGGCGTGCTGACCTAGTGGTGATTCATATTTATGCGATCTAACCCAAAAAACCTCTATTATGGGTAATATTGGTCGCGAAAGCAAAAGAAAATAACAAGACGAGTTTTTAGAGAAGGCCGCTGCCTGCTGGTGTCTGCAGGCGGGAGCCCCAAACCCCAAAGTGAAGCTGTTCGTGGTGAGCGTCGCCGACCCGGACACAAGGACGCAAATCACAGCCTTCCCCGAGATCGCCGACAGGTGAGAGGGTTCTCGCGCGTCCCAGCGTGCTCCCAACGCCGTTGTTTATTCACCCAGAAGGGCCTCGCCAAGTCCCAAGGCTCGTTGACGAAAGGTCGCTTCCCTTAGGGCTTCATTTTCTCACTAAACATATCCCAACGTCGCCCGCCTAAAAAACAGGACGTGACTCGTAACCACATCCATAGTGAGAGGGACACTGGATGTAGTTGAAATATTTTCCTGATAGCTGGTAAACCAGTGTAAGCCTACGGACAAGATTTGACTCGTAATTACAGCCATATCTAAAGGTATACTGGATGTGGTGTACCGGGTACCTAAATATTTTCCGGGTCACCGACCCAGGCAGACCCAGCTGGAATGAAGCCCCAGTCTTACTATTGCGATGTTTGGCCAATTTGATGCATGGCCGCTGATGACGATGGCAATGATGATGGCGAGTGTGGACTTGTGGTCGATTTTGTGGCAGAGATCACTACCTGGGCATGGTCACCTGGGCGACGAGTGACCGCCTGTGTGTGCAGTGGCTTTCGCGACATCAGAATTACTCGGTCCTGTCGCTCTGCGATCGTGATTCCATCAACTGGACGTGCAGTAAGGTGAGGGCCCAGAACATGCTTCCCGGGGCTTCGTCGATAGACTGGAGTAGGTGGAATGTGACTCGCAGAATCGGATCAGAATCAGAATATTTATTTAGACTGGAGAAATCCGATTAAGCTTTTTTTCACATATTTTCCAGTAACAGCCCATAGCCATAGCCAAAGGTATATCCAGACGTGGTGCGCTGGTTGAAAGAGATATTTTCTGGGTTGTTGATCCGGACAGAGCCGGTTGAAGTGAAGCCACAGATCCTTGAGAGTGTGAGGTCACCAGTGGCAGAGGTCATGGTAGACGGACACAAACGGTGGACCCGTGCCCAGGGGCGACCTTGTGCTCTCTTGCGTTCGAACGTTAAGTGTATTGTAAAGCATATTCAATTTCTTACAAGTGAAATAATAATAATAAATGTATTTTTATTGATTTAATTCTGCCCCCACACAAAAATGTGCTTGAGACTTCCCGCCCCGAATCAAAAAATCCCCCAAAGAATGCTTTCACACGTCACCTAAAATCCTCACGCGTGGTGCCAAAGATGACTTCAACTCCCGTTGCTTTGGCTGGGACCAATTCCAGGATGATGAATGTGCTGACCTGGCACATCGACCCTGGCCGAAACCCACCGAGCCATTGGGGCCAACTATCATCGTACAAATTCGACAATAAATAATAAATATCCCCAATAATAAACGCCTTGCCGTTCGTTCTCTTTCAGAACCACATTGAGACGTCGCAGACTGGATGGATCGGCACGGTACGCACGCGGCTACTGCCACACATGCGCAGGCTGCTGCCGAGTCTGACATTTGCTGCATGAGACAAATTAATCGCCTGGCCCTTAAAACTCCTTCGGGTGCCATCCGTGTCGCATCGATCGAGATGGGAGACAAATATTCAACACCCACGACCCACGCACCTTCAGCCGGGTGGGGGGCAATGGAGCCACAGTAAGCACGCGGGTTTCTCGCCTTACCAACAAGGCTCACGCCTCCCCGTTGGTGTTAAATAACATGCCTAGTCCAAGTGCCTGTGACACCAGCCTGGGCTAATAAAGTTGAACAAGTACCCCGAGCCCAGTCAATATAATTAACACGTCCGTACGATGACCTGCTCAGCCATTCGGCGTGTTCGATGCCGTTAGCCTGAGGTGCGTGGGAAGGCAGCCAGAACCGGGGTCAAAGATTGTCCAAGCTCTGTGGCCCTACATTGGGATAGACTCCGTTAAAATCTGGCTTCGGCCACTCCTCCGTTACGAAAAGCAGCTTTGGTGTCGGCCGAGTGGGTGTGGTCGAGGTCGGGGGTCGTTTGAATGTCGAGGTCACGGCAAGGCACAGTTGGCATCGTTCTAAACCACCTGGGCCCGGCTCCACCGGCTCCACCGTCACGTGGCGTCCGCCGTGACCGGATTCCCTCGTGTGCTGCGGGTGCTCAGTTTGGTCCCGCGGAGCCACACTTCGCGGAGGACGGACGGAGCTACTACCGCGTCTACAGCAACAGCGACGGATTCAAGCATCTCCACCACGTGCCGGAGGTGCGTCGCCCCCCCCCCCCCCCCGCTCCGTGTCCGCCCGCGCCTGCCGCCAGCCCGTGTCCCCCCGTTCGGTTGCAACCGCCGGTTCCGGTGTTGGGTTCTCACGGCTTTGGAGATGCGGTCGGTTGGGCTTGACGATGGAGCGGCAGCTCGGAGAGGAAAAGTAGCCGAGAGGTTCGTCCGCCGCGGAGATGGAGGCGATGACACTCGCTCGGAATATCCGCTCTGACGTCGCGGATCGTAAAGATGGGCACGGCTGAAAAGCGCGCAAAGAAGCGTCGAGAGGTGCGTGCTTGGAAATGACACGGAGGCACAGTGTAATTAGCACGGCTGGCTACGTACGGTGCAAAAGAAGTTCAACGTACATACGTAAAAGAGGAACTTGTGGGTCAGCGAATAAGATGATATTGACCGTTGACGTGTCGCTAGAAAAGATGATGGCCGATTTATTCGACCAACGGCGGAGTGGTAGCCAAGGAACGGAACGTATTTCGATAGGTTGTCCATCAGGGAGATGGAATGATGAAGTCAGCTTGTGTGCATGTGCCGAGTGGATTATGTGGGCTCGTAAGAGGTTGTGGCTTCGTGATGGGAGGCCTTAGTCCAGCAGTGGATCGAACGTGGCTGAGGGTTGCGAGATAGAGAAGTGAAAACACAGGCAGGAGGACGTCTGCTATGGGGAGATGGAGCAACGAGATCGAACTCGTGTGCGGGAACTCGACGGCTTGTTGCATCACAGGACCATGAGAGATGGCGACGACTTGGGGAGATCTTCATCCAGCAGCGGACTGATCATGACCGATGATGAACTCAATAACTTAGCCACACGCGTTGTTGAGGGGACGAGGCTCAGGACCGGTTGAGACGTCGCTCGCCGCTGGTGTGCATTAGCAATGGCCGGGAATCGAACTCAGGTTGCCAGGGTTGCAGCGCAGCGGCGCTGACCAACCGAGGCCGCCTCCACGCTACCATCACATCAAGAAAGCACTCAAAAGGAAACAATCGTTGATTGGGTTTGTTGCTAAGTATTTATGGCGAACCACTTCGAGATACGAGATACCAGCGATTGCCGCAAGGTGTACTTTTGCTCGCGTTTCGATTGCGCCGCTGTGCGCCCCCCCCCCCTCTCCGTTGGTCCAGACGAACGCTACAGCAAGAACGCTCAAGGCTACTGCAGCTCGTAAAGAGAAACGGCTCGACGGGCTCAACGGGGCCGCCGCTTCAGCGGGGGGCGGTGGGCGTTGAGCGCCGTTTGGCGACGGTGGTTCAGAGGTCTTTTTTTTGGTCGCTCTGTGTCGTTGTCACCGCCGATGACACCGACGACAATGCCTAAAGTCGAGCTCGAACTTCTGAGGGAGGAGGGCAGAGGAGGTGCGGCAGGGGGGGTGGGGGTGGAGCAAGAGGGGGGCGGCTCCGCTGGCTTCGGAGAAACTCGTTACAAAACAAAGTCGCAATCATCGGGCGTCTCGTCGGACGGGAGGAGCCGTAGTTGGGGCACTTAAAAATGGTCTCGTTCAGCCCGTTGCCGAGTTCCGCTTCTCCAGCGGCACTCTCACTCACTCTCGTCCACGGCTGTCCCAGGTGCACAGCAGATGTCGCAATCGGGTACCCGATACCCGTACCCTACCCGATACCCGGCTACCCGTACCCGGCCGGGTACGGGTACGGGTACCCGTTTGCGACCCTGGTGCGGCCGGGTATGGGTACGGGTAGGCCGTGATTCACTGGTGAGTAACCGTTTGTCACTCATTTCCCAACGTCTTGTCTCTTCTCACAATTCAAGTTCCTAGAATCAACCCACCCGCGCCTGCAACATGGCTTCATCCCAGAGGTCGCAATCGGGTACCCGTACCCTACCCGATACCCGGCCGGGTACGGGTAGCCAGGTATCGGGTAGGGTACGGGTACCCATTTGCGACCCTGGTGCGGCCGGGTACGGGTAAGGAATCAAAACCCGTTTGCGACCTCTGGTGCACACGCGCCCTGCTGCGGCCCAGCTGCGTCCCCTCCGACAGACGTCTCCGATTGTGGAGCCAACTCACTGCAGTCGACCGTTGGCGAGGTGTTAATTACCTCGCTTGGCATACAGGAGGTCGTGGGTTCGATCTCGACCCTGATGCCTGCTGTATATTTGGAGTGTCTTTCTCCCCGTGGTCACGTGGAATTTTCTCCGGGCCCTCCTGTTTTTCCCTCCACATTTACAAACACGCGTTAAGAGTATTTGGCTGCTGTACATTTCCACGCGATAAGCCACTCTTCTCGTTGGGCTTTCATTTGTGATGACCAGGTCGCTTTTGAAAAAAGAGCTCCATACCTAGTAAAATAAAAGGTTTAGTTTATAGTTTTGCGAACAGTTATCCTGAGCCCAACTCTGCAGGCATCTCGACTGAACATTCACTAGAAACTAAAATGCATTTTTCAAAATAATTAGGGACATGTAAATTAATTAAGTTCATTATTAATTTATTTTGGATTAGATCGCGGAGGTATCATGTAATTTTTTGTGGTGGAGGCTTACCATAAACAAATACCTAATACCTCTACATGGATGAGCTCACCCAAAATAAATTAATTCTCAATCATATTATTTGGTCGTGAACAGCCCACGGATAGAATTAAATATTTGTCTCGTGCTTATTTATTTATTTTCTGAGCGAGCGAGGTGAATCGGTGCATCGTTGCGCGCGTTGACGCGGCCGTGCGGTGCGTGCGTGTGCATGGTGTCGCGCAGGACTCGAACCCGAAACAGCTGACCCAGGGGTCGTGGGAGGTCATCTCGATAGAGTCCGTCTCGGCGACCGCACTGTGAGTATAACTATCTGACAGACGTGGGCGATGATCGTGGCCTTCCACACATTCAACTCTTCTGCCCGTCATATTTGCTCAACTTCTTTGCATCGAATTCTCCTCCCAGTTGCATCCAATTGTTCGGGTTGCTTCTGTAACTTAATTCACCGTCTTGTGGAACCTGGAGTTTTCGCAGTCAACACCACGTTCACATTCAGTCTCTTGTTTTCTCATTAAGAATAACCCTGCCTTTCTCTAATTATATATATAAAAATTTCTCCTGTAGGAATCCGATGAGCTATGAAGCTCTTTTTCACAAATGTCCAGCAACACATTTGATACGCTTACATTGCTCTTCTGGTGTCTAAATCCCTGCGCTGTTGGTGACGATGAGAGCAGCCCGTCACGTGCACGCCCCACGCTCTTCCTCAACAGTGGGGATGGTGGTGGCACAGCGGTTAGGGCACCGCGCCATGCACCCCCGGGGACATGAGTTCGATTCCAGGGCAAGTTGGTATCCGAACCGGTCCTGGGCATACACACCCCCCCTTCCCCGCACCCCCTTACTCAATTCACCAACACACACCGACCAGCGCGGTGAAGTACGGTCAAAACAACGCCCGTAACTGACGGCGGGCACGGACAGTCCTTCATCCAGCAGTGGACTGATACACGGCTGTAAGAAACAAAAACATCGGCTGACGATTTTTTTGGCAACAATCCCCCTTACTCGGAGCAGTGGGCCGCTTCCGCAAACATCCGTCAGTTGCATTCCTTCTGTTATGCGGCAGCATCCGTTACTAATGTGGCAAGGAGCGTGTTTATGCGTACGTGGGTCATTCCAGACTGCGCTGTGTTGAATGCTGTCCGCGCCAATCAGCTGCCCTGCGTCAAGGCTGTGGGGTGCCTCTGCTTGGCTTTGTTTCGCGCGAAATTTTTTCTCAAGACGCTTAGAATGTCGGCGGGGGTGGGGGGGGTGTACTTGTTAACAGATATGATATGAATTTGCGCTCGAACCATGAATTCTGTCACTCCGAATACGCATTCTGTTTGCGAGGCATCGCCGATTCGGCCAACACCATGCCACATCCGATTAGGCCTCGTGTGGAGGGACGGTCCACGTTTCTGGCCCACGTCACAGCTCGTTATGCACACCGACGGGCGCCGAGGAGCACATGGCTGAGAGGACCCGAGGCAAGTTAGAGAGGAGAATAATGATTATTTACATTTATAAAGCGCCCTCAAACAATCGTTCTCAGGGCACTAGAGAGAGATCGCATTGGGCTGTCAAGCAATATTAGTTTGGCTTGGGCAAGACCCCGTGGCTGCAAGGGATGATTGTCGGCGGTCGGGACCAATGATGGAGCGACAGCCAGAGGTTAGGAGCAAGACGTCCTCCGTGGACGTGCAGCGGTGACATCGGCTCGCGTGCCGGAGCCACGATCGTGGGACCGCGTGGGATGACGGCGGTTTGGAGAGGCCTTCATCCGCCAGTAGATACATCGTGGCGGACGATGTTCATTGACGATCGTCTCCTCGGTTTTCCATTCCCCCTTCTCAGGTACTACATCAGCAACGAACACAAGGGCTTCCCTGGGAGCAGGAATCTGTACAGGTGAGTTTGCACGGCGCGGGGTGGAGGGATGGGGGAATTAAAGGTACCAGCTCTTCGTACAACTGTGCTAGAATTGGCAGCTTCGCAGAGACCGCAGTGACCCAGGGGCTGAGTTAGTTCAGTATCCGCCGCCACGTGGGTGCCAAAGTGTCAGCTGCTGCTCGCGGGATTTGTCGCGCCGGCTCGAACGTCGTCGCTCGACCTGCCAACGCGGGCGCCTTCCTCGGGAGCCCCTCAATTCAGTTGCCACCCCCCCCTCACCGAGAAGCCCCGCCAGGCCGGCGCGTGGCACGAAACGTCGAGACACCGCTTACCAAACGACCCGCGGCACAGCCGGCAAAAAACACAACCGCCGTGCTCAGCAACAGCCGTGAACAGCCTACACAGAGAACGCTGCATCCACTGCCCCGTTTGCGTGGTCGTCAATAGCAGAGTGCCGGTGGATGCGCGTTGCCGCACCGCCTATTGGCAGCAGATCACAGATTGCCTCCTCTGTACAACAGCCATAGCAAGCGGAGCAGTGCGTTTCGGATTGTCGACCTGATTTCCCCGCAGAGCTTCGCAATAGGAAACGACCCTTTGTGGTCCTTTTTAAATCTTTCGATGCAGTCAAATTACACACACTTATCTCCGGACGAAGTGTCAGGGTGGGAAGGTGGGTGGGTGGGTGTGGTGTGGTCCAGAAATGGTACAAACATCATTAGCTGCGGCTGGGAAGCTCACCGGATTCATAGCACGGTGCCATTAACCATTGTGCCACCACTCCCCACACATTTTCAACGGCAATTAACACAGATTTAATGAGCTGTGTCCTGCAGTGGCGAAGCGCAATTGGCACGAGGCCCTGGTGTAAGATAGTCAAATGGGTGGTGGGGAGTGTCCAATTCTACCCCCTCCCACTTTGGTTATCTTGGGCCCTGGGCCCCTCCGACCCCTGGGCCTCCCGGCCCCTGTGGTCCCTGTGGCCCCGTAATGCGACATCTCCGCTGTGATATCTCCGCTGTGCCGTCTCCGACACCACGTGGCTGCAGGATCCAGCTGGACGAGCCGAACACCCCCGCGAAGTGCGTGAGCTGCACCCTCGACGAGGAGAGGTGCCAGGCTTTCTCCACCAGGTTCAGCAAGGCCTCCACCCACTACCAGCTCACCTGCTCGGGTATGCGAACAGCTGCTCGTGTTGCCGAACGGGTACATGATAAGGTCGTGCTCATTACACGCAAAGAGCTTGCCACAAATGAACCACATTACCTCGCTGATCTCGTCAAGGAGCATGAACCATGTGGTCATCCTCGCAACAGCACCTTTTGGCGAACCATCGAACAAAGACGATCACTGCATCACTGCATCTGCGCCCGTCTTAAACACTCTTCCTTCCGATATCAGGAAGCCGCTGGAGCTATGCGCTTGTACATCATCATCTCGATTGACAATTTGTTTAGCACTCATTTCTATGTTGAGTTTGCTGTCCTTCAACCCGCACCTCCGATTAGCACGGTTGGCTACGTACGGTGCGAAAGAAGTTCAACATACATACATACATGTGTGTCCAGTAACCCACACGTGATACATTCCTGGCTCATATTATGTTAGCGCATCTGGTGACACACACCTGCTCGTGCCACCGATATGTGTCTGGCAACACACACTTGCACATGTGATCTTTCGACATCTGGTGACACGAAAGCAGATGATCTTATCGTAACAATTCTATGGACTTTTTTATACCCCAGAAAATATCAAAAAAATACCAACTTTTGGGATCTGGGAGTCGCCTCCCACTGCTGTTGTAACACACACCTGTACATGCCATCTTTAAGCAACCTGCGACGGCACGCAGCTACATGCATGCATCTCGTGGCACAGAACCGCCACCAGTGTCAGATGATGCACAGCCGTGCCAGATGAAGAAAAACCCCAGGTGACGTGTGGAGGACGCGGGGAGTCCGGTGGAGGAGGGGCAGCTCGAGATCGTTCCACGGGGAACCAAGCAACGTGGCCACGATCATTGAAACATCGTCATCATTAAAAGAGTGTGCAAAATGTCGCCATCATTGAAACGTGGCGAGGAAATAAGAAAAACAAGTAACGATCGTGGCTTAAGCCAGTGGACGTCACCGTTCCTTGGGCAGGAAGGCAGGCAGAGTGAGAGACAGCTGCGGTACACTGGACAATATTTCACCACTTATCGCCACGGCCGCCACCACCACCACCGCGGCCGCTTCTTGTTAAACAGCCTTGACGGCGCACGCCGTCTTGCTTCAAGCCGTTGCGCGACTATAAGCCAGACTGTTCACGGGGTAGACAGGCGTGCCACCCAAACGTAGACACACAAACACACGCTACTACTATCTGGTGCACCTCGGTTCACACCACATAACGTCGGGTGGTGTTTGAGCGACACTTTGTGAAACCGCCCACGAGTCGCCGCCGCTGGGTTACGATGGCCGGCCATGGGGGGTGGGGGGGTAGGGGTAGGGGGTGGTGGGGGTGGTGGGGGCTGGGGGTCCCCCCCTCTCTGGAGTTTTTAACTGCCGCCGTGCCCGGCCACATGGCTCAGCGGTAGAGCGACCGGCCCGCGATAAGAAGGCTGCCAGCTCCAACTCCCGGGTTGGTGGTTGACTCAGACCCATCATCACTCTGGGGTCGAGAAAATAGCTACCACTTTCTGGTTGTCTACTAGAGAGACTTGCGCCTGCCATAGGAATGTAGAATGTTCAGCACCTGCTCAGGGCTGCCGACGGGACATGAGCATCGCTTCAAGCCTCGTTTTGATCAAAATAAAAATCGACGACTTATTTTCAATTGGCGGGTCACGGGGCCAGATTTGGACCGCGAAGGGCTCTTGGGAGTGGCCTGCTGAGTTATGACCCACCAAGAGAGAATTTGGCTCACAGAAACGAGAGATAGCGATTAGATACAGAAAGCTGCAGGCAAGAGATAGAGAGAGATACGTGAGATGAAAGTGAGATAAACACAAGAGAGATTAGGGAGCTGGAGATGAGAGATTTAGACGAATGATCACATGTACAGACGTCATGGCATCACGTGGCACCGATAGCACATAACCGTGGGTTAGAGTACAAGTGTGGTGAAGTTTGCCGAAATAGAACTTCATGACCGGCAAGGCAAGGACAGGGCCCTCTTCCAGCAGCGGACTGACAAAATAGAGGTCTGTAATGATCATACGAGTGTAGATTTATTTAAGTGTAGGTGATGCTACCTCTGCTTTCTTCACCTTTGCACTCTCCATCATTCATATATGCATTCTTTTTGAGTGAAGTAGTCAGTTTGTTCCACCGGAACATTCATCATCGTGCCGTAATTACCGGTGCGAGCGCGACTCGGGCAGCCCAGGGGAATCCACGCCAACACCGTGAGGGCATTCAAAGCCGCCCCCCCCCCACGCCACATCAACACATCCGCTGGTCGGTTTATTTTCTCATTCTTGGTCGCGGTCGTTTACACCGCGGATCGATTCGCTCCAGCTCCTCGCTCGCCCGCGGTCAGTCGCCGCCCCCTTTGCGACCCTCTGTGGCGACTGGCGTGGTTACCGCTGTCGCGAGCTTCACCCGTCGATGCCTCCACCACCCGTGTTGAGGATTGTGCCGGCACGCGGAGCGAAATGTCGGAGTGATCGCGCTGAGAAAAGCGCGGCACGGTGCGGCTTTCGGCTGGAGCGGACGTGACGGCGGATGTGAAGGGATCGCAAAACGCGGCCACGTTCGCTCAACCAACTCGCCCCGAACCAGCCGCACCCCCGCCCTGAACGTGCGCAGTCTCGTTGCAACCCCCAAGCCAACCCAAAGCGGTGCCGAGGAGCCTGGTCAGCGTTTGGATGGAGGCTTGGCAGGAAATACCAAGGGCTGTGGGCTGAGAGATGGGCACGCGATGGCAGCACGGCAATGGGTTGAGTTCAACGATCGCAGAGCTCCGAGTGTCATCCCCTTGCGTGTGGTGGGTTTTCGGCTGGGCACTCTCGTGTCCTCTCATGCTCCATAACATTCCTTAAAAATGGAAATTGGCCAAACATCCCGATGTAGCAGGACGCTCCTACAAACGTGTCCAGGTTTCGGCGAGCAAATTAAGGGGATTGCAAAAGATCTTGGTTACAGCTGGGCTTGTCCGAGCTCACAACCTAGAACATTTCCCCCCGCACCGGACACACCACATCCAGTACATCTCTGGCTATGACTGTGGCTACTACACGTCACGTGCAACCAACTCCACCCTACCGGTGACCCAGGAAATACTCGGCGAGAAATTAAGCCCCGGGTATGATTCTCACCATTGCGCTTTACAATGGAAGTGCGCCGCGCTCACTCTCACCAAACTTCTACTCCCCGCAGGTCCCGGAATCCCCATGTCCACCCTTCGCACATCGACCGACGATAAAGGTACACGCGTACCCGCGCGATGAACCACCGCGCCATGCGTCACTCCACCAAGAGGTTACCGTGACTGACGCTGCTCGACAGCTTGCGATCGCCTGTGTCACCGCTGCCTGGCGGCTATTGTTCAGCCGGTGATATTCTGTGGTGTTGGGAGATCGCGTAGAGTGCTCGAAAGAACACAAACCCGTGGCGCTGATCCGATGAAGCAATGCCTTCTGTCACTCGCGATGACGCTTGCAATGATCACTTTACGGATGTTAAGCACTGCCCAACCCACGCAGTCTGAAACGTCCCTTGTCACCAACCCACGGGCAATGAGTCTCCTTGCAATCTGCAGCTTCCTCTTTCATATTGCAAAGGTGAAAGTTGCAACGTGTGTGTACATATATATAGAGAGAGTTGAACAAGCCGTTTAAATTTAGCCTCTGTAGAGGTTGGGGGATGTCGGCGATGTAGCCCGTTTACCGGGCACTGCTTGATCACGTGACCCGTGGTCTGTGAATTGACGGTGCGGGCAGTGTTGACCACGTGACCCATGGTCTGGCTCTTGTGACCGCAGCAGGACTACTCTTCAACTTGAGATGCAATTCCCATCGACCATTCGCTGCACTCGAGCTCGCAGCAATCAGCGCTACTGGCACGCCAGTGTTTTCCACGCTGTTGATTTCCTCGATATCTCGCGTAGCTTCCGTTGTTTGGATGGACGCGACAGTCCTCATTTAAACATTTACGTTCGCCAAGGTCGCTGCGATGGGAATTTACACTCGTTGCTTGTTTTCAGAAATTGCGTTGCTGGAAAACAACACGGCCTTGGCGGAGCTCATCGACCACACACAGATGCCGACGCTTGAACAGCAGAAACTCATGCTCGGAGAGCACGGTAACGGTTTGCTCCGAGCCATTGCTCCCCAAAATATGGCAATTGGTACCATCCAGGGTGGCACGTGCTCGTGTTAATTTTCACGAAGCATTTTACTTCTTGATCGCAGGCATGCATGATAGCAGGATCACTGGTAACTTCTTCGTTGGGCCAACTTTGCCCCAACCGTTATAAGTAAATGCCAACGTTAGCCCAGCATTGGCATTTTTGCTGGGGTTGTATATTTGGAATGAAACAGGAGGATTTGTCCACAACTCTGAAAGCTAGTTGTAATTACTGGCGAAACGTCGTACTCAGATTGTAAATGTAGTGGCCTCGCTCTCCAACACACCGGTGTGCTGTACTAGTGACGAAATTAGCAAGTTCTGTTTACGTGACAAACCTTACTAATCTATATATTTACGCAATATAACCCCAAAAAAAACCTGTATTATGGTTGGTAGAGATTATCGCAAGGGAAGGAAAATAATTAATGTGACCTGAAACACTGACAGAATGTGAAAATATATTGGAAGCGTGTCTATAAGACAGACGGTATGTACCGCGAAAGTTTTCTGCCCGTAGTGGATACTACTGAAATGGAGCGTTCAATTATTGAAATAGTCATTGTTTTATATTCATGTTTAATTGCAGTGGCATTTTTCAAACGGTATTTTCTGTGTTGTTGTTTTCCTTGACACTTTGGGGAATTATATATTTGTATTTATATATTTGTTTTGTGCTTTGTAAAATAATAATTATCTTTCTCAGAAAGATGATGTTGCCCGTTTATAGATATAATATGTATATCGCAGCGATTCAAAGAAGATTTTCCAGGCTCACGACGCAAACGAGAAGCTACATTTGTACTTGTATCAGGTCTACGTTAACGTGCGCACAGCAATCTCGGCAGCCACTAGAGGCCGCTACATTCAACGCGATTTGAAACAAACCATATAAAGAGTTTCTTCTACAGACGCACAGCCATCAGTACCCTCGGGAGAAGCAGCGTTCCCGGATTTCGCGTGCCCATTGAGAGACGTGCATTACGTGTGACGCTTCGGTTTCGCGTGGTGCGGGACGCGTAACTAGTTTGACTTCATGTGACAGCCACAAAGCCCGACTGGCACGTTTGTTAACGTTTACTGCTCAACTTGCGAGAGCATACGAGTTTTAATTTCATTCGGGATCACAAGAATTTTTTTTTTTAAAGAAGAAAAAAAACTTGCTTGAAATATACGCTCTGAGAAACGCTCTCGGGGTTTGTTTTGTCCGTGAGCTAGCGTCAAAGATTGCACGGTATTCACGTAAGTTACCTCATGACTTGAAGCGATCGTCACATTCAATTTATTCATAATCGATCACGTTATTTAGAAATGTGTCGTAACCCTCCACCACTCGACACGGCCAATCAGCAAAAAAGTGTCACGTTGACAAAAGACAAATAGTTCACTTATTCAGCCCACCGGTGTGTTGAAGAGTGATTCCACAACATTTACAATTTTTGAGTACTACGTTTCGCTGGTAATTGCATCCAGCATCATCGTACGTGTTAAGCTGGCATTCTATTTACTTCGAGTGAAAATCCGTATCGCTCACATAGCGTCAAAACTTGGAGGGTAAATTACCCATAGAGATTGAGTGTTCATCAATTTATTTGATTTGTTACACGGATGATGATGGCCCCGTTTAGCCAGTTTCATGGCTATTTCACACGTCAACATGAAAAACAACAAAACCATTGCAGGGAACGAGTGCGGAGTCCTGAAGGAATAGCGGTCCCGGATCACGAGAAGTCAGCGTCTTGCCAAGCGGGGTTGGCAACCTTCGCGCAAAATTGCACGCACAATTGTTACACAACCTGTGGAACATTTAACACGTTACGTAACTATATCTGCCTTGTGCGGTGTGGGGGGGGACATGATTTTAACGAGCATCTGTTGCATGTGTGCGCGCGTGCGCGCGTGCGTGCGAGCGAGCGTACTTGTTATATGTCAACCTCCGTTTTTCCGCTCCCTCATTCGTCCACACAGAGGCCTGGTATCAATTTATTCTGCCACCAAACATGGACAGGAAAAAGAAGCACCCTTTGATCATCGACGTGTAAGTCCTTTCGTTTGTCTTCTCTCTTTTAAGAACAAAAAATAACACCGTATCGCGAGTTGCCTCGAAGGCTCCGGGGTCAGAGGCGCTGAGTCACCACCGCACAGATCCTGGGGTTAGAGCATGCCGCCCAACCACAGCGATCGCACGGAGCTCTCAAGTGCAGCGAGTTGATGGTCTGGGCCCGGTCACTTTGACAAATACAAAGCAATGTTTGTACTTCCACACAGTTTGCCCAAATTCCAGCTGTGAGAATGAAATTGTGCTTTGAGCATCATGCATCGAGCATTACTGTCACACGGCAGAGCGTATGGGATAGTGCTGCCCCCCCCCCCCTACTGTGTGGAGCAGAGGTCACTTGAAGTGACCTCCGAGGTAGCTGTGAGATCTGCTTCCGCAGGCCGTTCTGGAACACGGCGGATTTGCGGCGCTCTGCGAGACATCCGAATCGATCCTTCGTCCCGTGACACCGACACCGATGGCACAATCGGGATATCGTTCGGAAGGAATTGACGGAAAAAAATAGGTACGTACAACATTATTAAATCCCCACTGTTGCATTTCAGCTACGCTGGACCGGGCAGCCAGAAGGTGGACTCGCGCTTCCGCAACAACTGGGCGACGTACCTGGCGAGCACGGAGCGTGTCATCGTGGCGAGCGTGGACGGACGCGGCAGTGGCTACCGGGGGGACAAGGTCCTGCACCAGCTGTATCGCCGGCTGGGCACCGTCGAGGTGCAGGACCAGGAGGCTGCGGCCCGGTGAGTGCCGCCGCCGCCGCCGCCGCCGCCCCAATCATTTTCACTTAACCTTTTTCCCGTTCAGATTACGTGCGCGCACGTCCTCATTTTTTTCTTCCGATTCCTTTCAAAACCGGAAGTAAAAGGCCAATGCGGGAGGGCATGTGGCACAGTTTGGCGCCAATTGCCAGCAACGATTGACCTAAATCTTCCCCCTGAGTGCAACGTAGCCTTGAGGCGGCAGCGCATTTCTGACTGAACGGTGACCCTTGCACGTCGCCCCTTGCGCCGGCGGTCGGTCAAGTGGCGCCACTGTCGTCGAGCCCTTGGCGAGCCACTGTATCCCACGTGCACAGGGTGATACGTAGGACCAGCATGTGCCTCGCCGTGCCATCGGCGAGCGGCCTTGCCACCGGCGAGCGGCCTTGCCAGGATGACAAAACAACAACATCAGCAGCGGCAGCAACATCAAGGACCGGCCTGCGAGTCACTCGGACGTTTACGACGCCGTTTCCTCACTGCGCTGTTGTCGTTTCCTCTGCCCCCCTGCAGGGAATTCGGGAAGATGGACTTTGTTGACGAGACCAGAATAGCGATTTGGGGATGGGTAAGTGTTTATACCGCGGTGTAAAAAGCACCGCTTTGTGTTTGCATCCATTTATTATCCTGTTTGTTTTCTCGCAAGGTTTTTTTTCATTGTGATTCATAATTTACGGCCCCTTTGCCAGCAGACTGCTGGGTGAAGGCCTACCCACACCGTGACGGTTACGGGGTTGTTTGACCATACTTCGCCATGCCGGTCAGCAGTGTAGGCTTGAGAAGTGGCAGGAGGGTGGGGGCCATGACCGGTTCGCCACTGATATCAGCCATGGCCAGGAATTTAACTCGGGTCCGTTGGGTTTATAGTTTGTTTATTTTATAGCAAGAAAGAGGCAGTCGGTCATAGGCAGAGGAAGGAAGTTCCAGAGCCTTGACTTAAACAGGTGGAGGGAATCAACTCCACGGATGGCCGAGGGAATGGAGCTCCAGACCTGGGGACAAGAGTGGAAGGAGCAACCTCCCACGGAGCGAAGGTTGACTGGCAGGTTGGGCGGAAAGCCCGGGTTGCGGAGCAGAGAGTGCGTGGAGGGGAGTAGAGCGAGATGAGAGAGGCAGGAGAGTGCGTGGAGGGGAGTAGAGTGAGATGAGAGATACAGGAGAGTGCGTGGAGGGGAGTAGAGCGAGATGAGAGAGGTTGGAGAGTGCGTGGAGGGGAGTAGAGCGAGATGAGAGATACAGGAGAGTGCGTGGAGGGGAGTAGAGCGAGATGAGAGAGGTTGGAGAGTGCGTGGAGGGGAGTAGAGCGAGATGAGAGAGACAGGAGAGTGCGTGGAGGGGAGTAGAGCGAAATGAGAGAGGCAGGAGAGTGCGTGGAGGGGAGTAGAGCGAGATGAGAGAGGCTGGAGAGTGCGTGGAGGGGAGTAGAGCGAGATGAGAGAGACAGGAGAGTGCGTGGAGGGGAGTAGAGCGAGATGAGAGAGGTTGGAGAGTGTGTGGAGGGGAGTAGAGCGAGATGAGAGAGGCAGGAGAGTGCGTGGAGGGGAGTAGAGCGAGATGAGAGAGGCTGGAGAGTACGTGGAGGGGAGTAGGGTGAGATGAGAGAGGCAGGAGAGTGCGTGGAGGGGAGTAGGGTGAGATGAGAGGGGAGCGGGAGGGCAGGCACACGTCCATGTAGGTAGGATCTTGAAGATGGCGAGTGCAGTCCGAGATTGGTTGGTGATTCCGTTGCGTGTGTCCACAGCGTGCGTGCAGTCGTACGGAGGCTACGTCTCCTCCATGTCCCTGGGCTCCGGCTCGGGTGTCTTCAAGTGCGGGATGGCCGTGGCGCCCGTGTCCGACTGGCGCTACTATGGTGAGACGGCGGCCGTTGTGCACCCAGGACAGCGCACGACCAGCGCGGTCCACCCAACCACGCGCTCCGCCAGATGCGTACACAAATGTGAACACTGGTTCACCGTCTCCCGCGCGTTCCCACTCGCTTAATTCGCTGGACCAACCGCTCCTCACGCCAGGAGGTGCCGCCGCACCATGAGGGTGGTGCCGCTTTGGCGGTGGTGGTGTTGGTGGTGTTGGGGATTTGGATGTATGTAGCGGTGGTATACTCTTTGGTTCTTTCGGTAAAGTCACTTCGGTTATAAAAAATGTATATATATATATCACAGTGATATATTATTTTTAGTTTTATTTAATGTTTCTACCTACGTGACTTTACCGAAAGAACCAAAGAGTATGGATTCCTGCAGTCACGAAAGCTTCAAATCTAGATTATAGCGGTGGGACTTGTATGTATGTTGAATTTGTTTCGCACCGTACGTAGCCAATCGTGCTCATCGGAGAAACTCGCACCGTTGGTTTCAACTGCCGCGCCGCGAAAGTAACGGACCGTGGCGTTGCCGTGGCGCGACTCTCGATTCTCACGACTCTCACGACTTGCACGCGCTTTGCGCCGCGTTTCTCTTTCCCTCTCCGTGCCACCCCAGACTCCATCTACACGGAGCGCTACATGGGGCAACCCACCAAGGACGACAACCTGGCGGCCTACGAGGTGGGGTGCGCGCGGGAGAGCAGCGCCGAGCGTGCGGGCGGTGATCGCGCCCCACGCCGCGAGAGCCCCCCGGGGGCTATGGACCGGCATCACGGCTAGGGTCAGGGTTGGAGGAGGGGGAACATTGCACGGGGAAGGGGAATTTTAAATCCTCGCAGCCCACCAGGCAGGGTGCCTCCTGGCCACGCCACGCCACCGCGTGGCATCTTAGCTCAGCCTCATCCAAGGGACCCGCTGAGAACAAGGGACAGACAAGACTTGTGTTCTCCAAATTGAAGGAACGAACCAAAACAAACTATGAATTGTTTTTTCAAGTTGTCATCTTATTGATGGACGTGATCATCACCATGTTCACCATTATCCCTACTGGACATCTGTAAAAAAGAGCTTAATAGGTCATCAGATTCCTCCAGTATATGAATCAATATTCTGATTCCGATTTTGATCGTGATAATCAACGTGTCATTTCCACCACTGGCTCAGTGCTGCCATGAGGGATGGACGCCACCCACATTGTTCATCTCAGCAAGGGGGGGTGGGGGGGTGTTGGTGACCGTTCAAAACACGGTCCAATTAATTATATAATGAACAATTCATCTACAGGAAGGATTTAGATGTGTACACGCATCCTTCTGAAAAAGCCGTATCCATGCTCGTGCGGTGTCGAAAGCGTGTGCGTTCAGGTCGCCGTGACTTGAGATTCAGGGCTAAAGAAAGCAGCGCTTGACAAAATTCCGTCTCAATCGCGGTTACGATCAGAACGCGCGGGGGAGCGTTCAGTCCGCGAGTGTGGAGATCAGAGGACCACTCGAAGGGGTCTCCAGAAGCAGTTCTGTGAAGTCCGCCTCTGTGACCCATTGTGGAATTTCGCACGGGGCGATGCGCTGCTCCCCGCGAGACACATGGCCTCGTGAGAGTGACGCCGTGAGCACAACCGGGATGAAATACTGTACTACATTTAAAAAGGAACTAAGCAGTTTGTTTTTAAGGAATGTACAAGAGTGAATAAGTAAAACTGACCGTTATATGACAGATTCCGTCTGGTTAAAATAACAATCGGAGGAGTTCTGTAAAAAAAGATAAGAGATAAGAGCCGGCAACACGCCTCGCGGCTGACGAGGATTCTCCCCACAGAGTTCCACCGTCATGGCCCGCGCGGAGAACTTCAGGAAGGTGGACTACCTCCTCATCCACGGCACGGCAGACGGTGGGTCCCACCTCCCTCCTCACCCCGTCACAGGGGGGCACGCTGCGCGCAGCATCGACGCGTCGTGACGCACGGCACGATTCGCATGCTCGTGGTGCCTGCGTGCGTGCGTACCGCGTGCGTGCGTGCGTGCATACCACGTGTGTACCGAGTGTGTGTGCGTGGACTGCGTGCATTCCGCATGCACGCGAGAATCTATTTACGCAAACGAGATGGAACGAGAGAGAGAGAGACGGACACGAGCCTTAAGCACTTCCCCTAACGGCTCGACACGACGTCTCAACTCAGAGACTGACGACGAAATGGCAGCCAAAGAGAGAGCGCCGCCCCAACAGAGGTCCATCGCCACGGAGACGGATCCGCTGTGCTGCGGTGGCTACAGACGGATCAGCCGGATCACCGGACCGCGAGAGATGGCGACAACTTTGGGGAGGCCTTTTTCAGGCAGTGGATGATGATGATATTAACAACAATAATAACGAAGGACAATCAGGAGGGATCCATTTAGTCATCACAGCCTCCTCTAGATGCCACTTTATTCAGATCGGCCGGCGACGGTCAACAACAACGATGGGGTGACAGCCACGGAGTGGAACTCATACTTCGAGCACCTCCGCCGGGGACACGGAGCTCATTTGCCCTGTGCGGGCGCCGGGCGGATTATAACAACAGAGGGTCACGCGAGATTGCCTGCGGCTTGGGGAGGCCTTCATCCAGCAGTGGATTGGCCATGGCGGATGACGATGATGATGATGACGAGTGGTCTGCGTGACGATGCCCGTTTCTTTGTTCAACCATTTCACCGCCGCCTCTCTCGCTCTGTCGGCCGCCCCTGTCTTGCAGACAACGTGCACTTTCAGCAAGCGGCCCACATCTCCAAGGCTCTCGTCGACAAAGAGGTGGACTTCTCAGCTATGGTAACGACGCATGACGCACACACGGCACGCACACGCACGCACACACACGCGCATTCAACTACAACTGGCGGTCACGTCAGCGTGATGCACGTGCCAGGCTAGGTGCATGTTAAGGTCACGTAAAACAGCGACGGCTCACTGGCAGGGGATCACAGGGCACACCGTTGTGTTATGGGATGAATAATCGAGGTGACTGGCAGACGTGCCACCTGTGCTGCCCAGTGTGTCAACCCGCTGGGCTTTAGACACCTGCTGCTCTGCTCGTTGTTGCGAGCGTCGCTCCTCGGCCCCCCGTTGTGCCTCCAATAGCATCCTCTGCAGCAGCCGATCTTGACACCACTGGTGCCGGTCGTAGGGCAAGTCCACTCAGCTCCAAGTCTTGCTGTGCCTACAACAGTCCATCAGTTTGCAGCCTGTGCACGCCCGTTTAAGTCCTCTCTCTAGCTGGCCAACCAGAAGCAACTTGGGCATGCGGTGGCTGGGCATGTGGGCAACATGACTCGGTAAACGCGGCCTCGCTTGCGTGGAGGAGCTCAGCGATGTAACCGCGTCCACGTCCATAATATTTGCTTTTCATAATATTTGTTAAATGACACGGCAACCCAAGGCTCCTTAAATCACACCTCAAACATTCGAAGGGGTCGTCCCACCAAGTGACAGCTGTCCCCGTGCAGCACGAAGCGATCTCAGCACCAGCCCGCAAGAGGGCATTAGTCCGCCAGTAGGGGGCAACGACTGCTACTACTGCTGCGTGTAATCGCAGCAGATATAGTTGACCAATTTTGTCAGATTTCATCCGCGACGTCCACCTCTCAAGAATCTGCGAGCTTCTCGCACAGCGTCCGCACGCGTCCGCACGCGTCCGCACGCACGCACACGTCCACACGCACTTATGTGTCCGCACGCACGGACGCACTTAGGCACAAAAGCGTGCTAAAAATATCGCTCCGGCCGTGTGGCGCCTACCGAGGCGTGAGCGAGAAGAGCCCGTGTTCCGGCTCGGCTCCAAGTCTCACACACCAATGATCAAATGGGGGTGGGGGGGGGGTGGTAGGGGGCGGGTTTAGGAGGGGGGGGGCCCTTGCCGATTACGGCGGGTGTCGCAGCGGCCGATAAACGGCGTCGCGGGCGATTGCCACGTGGGGGGTTTTCATCTTCACAGTTGACTTGCAAACCATCTGCACCGAATTCACCGCCGGGGCGGGCAGCGACTGCTGCGGCGGCGATTCACAAACAGTTTGTTTAAGAAATGACAGGGCCAGGTGAAGGCAGGATGTGTCCTAATGGACACAGCAGCAGCAGCAAACAGCAGCAAACAGCAGCAAACAGCAGCAGCGCAGTCTGACAAAGATGTGCCTTTATTGCAGTCGGATAGCAGCGGCGTCCTAAAGCCCAAATAATCGTACACTTTGCTTTGGAAGATAAGTCAACAGTTTCCTTTAGGTACGTAAACACAAGGGGTGGCGCAGCAATTAGCCTGCTGCAGAATGAACCCGGTGACCTGCATTCGAGTCCCAGCCACGTCTCACATCAATGCCGAGTGATATTCGAACCCGTCCCGGGCACCTGCCCTGTTCACCAAACCCGCACTGCTCAATGCGGTGAAGTATGGTCAAACAGCCCCCATTACTCACACGGCATCCAGCAGTGGATTGACCAAGACGTGTACGCCACAAGAGCCCGTTGAGAGCCGAAGTCACTCACTTTTTCAAAGGACACGCGATACGTATACTTTCACTGCGTGTCATGCAACATTGTACTTTCATCTGCGAACACACTCATCCCTTTAACACGTAGCAGGCTTTCGCGACCAATTTTATTCATAATAAAGGGTTTTTGGGTTAGATCGCGTTATTTATAAATGTGTCGTAACCCTCCACCACCCGACACGTGACACATTTTTTACTGATTGGCCGTGTCGGGTGGTGGAGGGTTACGACACATTTATAAATAACGCGATTTAACCGAATTTTTTTTTTTATTATGGACACACATCCCCGTCGGTACGGATGACGAGCGGGCATGGGGGGGGGATAGCGATGATCGGCTGAGAGCCTTGGAAGGGTCGCCAATAGTCCATCTAATTGCCTTTTAAATATCCCTCGAGCAAGAATTCGAATATGTGACAAAGCCTTTGCCATTGCAACACCCACGTTTTGGAACCAACTTGTTTCCTCCCTTAACATCGTGAGCCGTCGTTCAAAAAATAGCCTGCCGCGGAAGACTGTTGCTGGATACGGTCACAGTTGAAAATGTGATTTGTAAATTTGATCATGACCTGCGTATCGATAGTTCAGTGTTCATGTGCCATTGTATTGAGGGACTACTGTGTGCTGATATCTTGGTGTGGTCTGGGACTGTTTTGTTGTTTTTGCTGTCTTGCCCAATCTCGATCAATCGGACTTATATACTTACTTATTCTGCTATTTATTTATATTCAGTAACTTGCTTACCATTCTCTCTATGTTGCACTCCTATCGTTGTTTTGTATTGTTTGCTCTTGTTACTTGCCGACCCGCCCCGTACATCTGTGAAAAAGAGCTTAATAGCTCATCGGATTCCTCTTCCAGCCTTCTGAACGGCCGTGCGTGTGTGTCCCCCCCCCCATACCCTCTGTCTCCCAGTGGTACACGGACAAGGACCACAGCATCTCGGGGCTGGCCAACCACCACGTCTACACGCACATGTCACACTTCCTCAAGCAGTGCTTCGGCCTCCAATGACCTCACGTGACCCCCCCCCTCCCCCCCGCGCGACCCGGGACGCCTCAGCGACCGCGCGGCCACCGCTGATCGTTGGCCGGCACGCGCCAGCGTCTCGCAAAAATCTCAAGATGCCACTCCTCCCGAAGCTGAACAGAAGCGACGACATTCACCCTCCGTGCCGACCGCGGCGGCCGCTCTCGAGGGACTGGCGCAGGGACAGCGCGCCGGCGGGCTTGGCTGGCAGGAAGGGCGTGGACACTTCCGCGACCAATTGCGCGAAACTTGCGCCGCGATTGCCGACCGCACCTGCGCGCGTTGCGTCAGTCTTTGTGAGACGACCACAAGTTTTTTCCCCCCCTCCCCTCGCCCGCCCCCCCCCCCCCCGATGGTCCCCATTGTTGCCGTGGTGACTCAGCAGACGGGCATTGTCCTCCTTCCGGCCACGCTCGCTCGCCACTATTCTGTAACGTCGTCCCCTCGTCAGCGCGTGGCTTCGATGACCTGACGTGACCCCCACCCCCCCCGCCCCCCACGTCAGCGATGAGCCACGTACGTCCATCACGCATCGTTAATTTCTGTGTCGTTCCGTCAATCAACGCTGACCCTAATGGTACCTTACCCTAACCCCCCTTGAGCCCCCCCCCCCCACCCCCCCACTTGTTTTTTTGTAGCTAATACACTGCCCCCCTTTGAAAACAGTTTGCTCACGGAAGTGGCCAGGTTGGTCAGGGGTCGTAGCGCTGAGCCAGCACTGCCTAGGCCCTGGGTTCGAATCCAGGTTTCAGCCGCCCCTTCAGTCAAATCGAGCTGTCAAGTGCAGTGAGTCTATGCGCTTAGCCTGGTCACTAATGACTGCACACACACACACACAACTATTCGGTTGATTTTGTTTTGTTGCTTGATTTTGGTTAATTTTCAGTTCCGAGATTTAAGTGTATGAGATTGTCACGTGATACGCATTTCCCGAGGAGTGTGGAGATCAGAAGGCCGCGTGAAGGAATCTCAGAGGTGCTCGCGTCAAATCTTCCGGAGGCTGTTCTCCATTACACAGGGTGATGCACTGCTTGTTGCGAGAGATCAAAACGAACGCTGCATCTCTTGAGACGACGACGGCGATATCGCAATTTAATTGGGAAAGAATAAAAACGAAAAAATACAAAAAAAGAATCCTGGGACAATGCGGTGGTGAAAAAGTGAGCCGAGAGAGACCGAGATCTCCCCCGCCCTGTGCCGCCCCCCCCCCCCCTCTTCTGCCGTCTCACGGACCACTACACCACTACACCACCACATCACACCACCACACCACCACACCACGTCCTCATTCATATTTCTCCTGGAGTCAGCCGCCCACCATCTCTCTGTCCTCTTGTAGGCAATACACAACACACGTCATTACGAATATCATTTTAAACATAAATTCCCGGTAATTTGTAAATTCAGAGGGGAGTTTTTTTTGTAATTACTGATCGACAATTCGATGGCTTCGTGGTTTTGTTTTTCTTGATTTGTTGCACCACTGTACGCGCCGCGCTCTGCTCTACGCACCGCGCTCTGCTCTACGCACCGCGCTCTGCTCTACGCACCGGGCACTGCTCTACACACCACTAGCCGTACCGTTGTGTAGACTACGCGGCACTATTCCAAATTGTAACCCTGTCAATGCTACGCCGCCTCCATCCGGACCCGGACCTGGACCCATCATCTGTGCCTTGTTGAGCACCCGGAACCACGCAAGAGATATTGTCAAGCAGGTGGAGGTGTTTGGTTCGTTTGCTTTAGTCCACGACGATTACGAGTGGACAAAAAACATCGAGCGTGACAATGGCTGCGACTACCCACCCAATAACACCACCACCATCATCATCACCACCACCATCATCACCATAATCTGCCCACCAAAGACTGAAGTGCAAATGGCCATGACAAAATTAACCAAGTGTGAATGAAGATGCAAACTGAGATAATCTTAGTAACGTTATTCAAGACTGGAGGAAGACCATACGGTAATTTACAACGTATGTATTTCAAAAGATTTACCGAGTTCACCGATTGGCCGGCCTGATAATACTCTGGGGGGTGGGGGGAATTGCATGCCCCTCTCTCAACGTGTGACTGCTCTAGTCGACGAACCTTGAGGCTTTCGTCGATAAGACACAGGGTGCTTGCCCTGTTGACACCGGTCCTCACCTCGGGACGTGCGAGGGCGTTTGCGTCGTAAGCGAAAGATTCTCGATTTCAGACACTGTGCAGTAGGCGGATCGTGGCTGCAGTTGAGGAGTTCGCTTCGGGGCTTAGGTGAAGGGTGCAGGTGGAACCACGTGCGGTGTTTCATGTCCCCACGCGTTGTCTGTAATTATCAAGCACAAGCAGCACTCTGGGCTGCGTCTCCACATCCAAATAACGGTGAAGTTGAGTCCATCGTCCAAATGGCTTTCCAGACGAATGTTATCCAGCACAATTTGTGTGATAAAGCAAATTTCTGGAACTGTTTTGTCTTCCGGGGTGTCGTCAGCAGAGTCCGGGTTGGTAAACAATTGCTGCCGAGTTACCCGATGTTATTGGCAGGAGTTCTCCATCCAAACGATGGGGCCCTGTTCAACGTACAAAATGATGGTAAAAGCGTTGGTGCGGATTGACATCACCTCTGCAGCCACTAGCGGCGCTACAATTCACCACCGTTTAAAATGATGCATTGAGTAGCGATCGTGAAAATTCACGTAAATCAACATCCCCAATCATCATCGCAGGTAGCCATCCATCATTCCAGGGCTTAATTTCAGCCGGAGGTGTCCAGGGCTGAGGTCCTGAAAAATATTAATCCCAACCTCCTCTGCCCCCCTGCTAACCTAACCCTCCCCCAGAAGAGATTGTGGGTTGGAAGGGGGTGATGGTGGTGGTTGGTGGGGCACAGGAAAATATCCCATGAGAAATTAAGCCGTGAGTTATCCCATCCCCGTTGCTCCATGAGGCCACCTGCACGCACACGTATCACCCGAGATGCGGGGGGGGGCGCGGGGGAGGAAACCCGTGGTGGATTTTCATCTCACTGCACGCGGAGGCCACGCTCCGCCACGTAAACCCTGTTTACAATTTGGGACGCTCCATTAAAATGTAAAGTATGTAATACTTCGCTCTTCAAGTCGCTGTTTGACGACGCGCACTCGCCAATCAAAATATTAAAAGATGAGTAAATAAAATCAATCAATTGACTCAAGACCACCCACAGCTGTCTTGGTACCGCGCGGTGTGTGCGCCCCCATCGCCACCCTCCTACCGCCCCCTGTCCTCTCCCGTTCACTGGCGGGAGCCACGAGGCACGTGCGAGCTGGGGGGAGGGGGGCTCGCTCGGGAGATGTTGACGATCGAAGCGATCACTGGAAAAGTGGGGTCCATAAAATCCCACAACGCCGTGGCGGCTTTTTATTGTGCCGCAAGTGCCACCGCCACCGCCATTAGGGAGCGCGAGGAGCGCGCTGATTGCCGTGGTTATTGGGGCCGACGTGGCGCAGCTGTTTGGCGCTGACGATGATGATGATGAGGTCCTGTTTGGACAGGGAGGGATCACGGTGTGGGCCTGAGGTGGTGGTGGTGTTGGGTGCCCCCCCCCATCACCCTCCCCTCACCCCCCTCCTCCCCCCACCCTAATTGCCCCCTCCCCCCTTCCTCCCCCATAGCCTCCAACCCCCCCCCCCCCCACACACAATACTCACGAGTAGGGAGTCGTCGCCCTCACCTATGCATCCATAATAACGGGCACAAGGGTGGTACCAATTTTATCAACCCCAAACAGATGATGAGTCGAGTTGACCCCAGACCAGGTTTGAACTCAAAACGTTCTAATTGGCAGTCGAGGTCCCTGAGCAGCAGGCCAACCGGTAACACCACCATCATCATCATCATGCATGATCTATCCACTGCTGGATGAAGGCCTCCCACAAAGCTGTCATCATTTCCCAGCGTCTCGCGATGGAACGGCCCACGATCGCTACTTTGGCGCTGCGCTCTCCTCTGGCTACCGCTCTCTCTGTCGTTCGTCTTGACCACCGAGTCATCGTCGCTGCGACCGATGTCCGGCTCCATCCCCACTCTCCTTAACACTCAACGTGCCGCGTTTCCTCCTCCAACTTGCGTGCGCGATCCGATCCGTGCGGCTCCTCGTCTTGCCCTTCTCTACTTCTCGGCGTGTGCCTCTCTCCAGGCGGTCACTCACCTGCGCTGGTTTGACTGCCCCATGGCACTACCGCACCTGATAAGTTGCAATCGTTATATAGCAGTGTCAATCATTATTTACCTAGGAAAGCCCCGTCGACTGAGCAGCAAGGTATGTTTTGACAGGGCTCAGCTACATTGGGATGTTTGGCCCATTCCGTACAAGGCAGATTGTCTCCGTGTGTGTGGAGATGAGCGAGGCTGGAGAACCCCAAGTGGTGGACACGCCGAGGTGAAGCTATCGCCAGGGAGATTCGGGAATCGATTGCAGTGTCGTCTCCTGGCCACCTCAGCGCCATGCTTACAAGAGCTGGCAATCCCTGCTTCTCACTTAACTAAGAATCAACCGGGCTCACCTCGTCTTCGAAACGATATGAGTTGGGCACGTTTGCTATGATTTAGATGCAAGAATTGAACGCTTGCACGGTAAACTATTGCGATGGGCACGACGCACCAGGGGGTGGTGTGAGCAGCACCACACCCGGCCGCCTTTGTCTCCCCGAGTGCTCGCCACAGGCTCGTAGCGCAGTGCGCTAACCACGACACCACCGCTCCCCATACAAAGACAAAGACCCCCCATGTAGACCGTTGGTGCAAGTGCCGTTGGTGGACACCTGCGGTGGCCGGCACGGCACACCAAGGGATGATGTCGCCGGGGCGATGTTCACGCACCGCACCAAGTACCCGACTCATTTGAGTCAACATAGGGGACCGTCCAGGGCCGGTTCAGATCATCGTCACTGGTGTTGGCGGCCATGAGCTGGAATCGAACTTGGGTGGCCTGGGTTCGCATCGCAGCGCGATAATCGTTACACTGCCGCTCCCCGCACAGACGCACAAACATACATACACAGCGACATACGTACAATATTACAGACACGTGTGTACACGCACACAGAAACGCGCGGAGCCACACACTTGAGCGGTGGCTGTGATCGGAACACATCTCCTCCGCTTGCGCCACCCCATCTCGGCCGTGCGGTCACCATACCTCGCTCCCTCGGAAATTACAATTTATTTTATTTCTGGACAAAGCCCTTTGTTGCGCCACGTGCGCCGTGTTTGCCGCCGCGTTTTATTAAAAAAAAAGACGTGGAAATTGAATGGTGTCAATGACACGAGGGACGGCTCCGGCCCTTGCGGTGCCTCCACCTGGCAGCCACGGACAACCGGCAACACCTGAAGAGGCCACCTGTCACCTACCGCCCATCAACCGTCACCTATCACCTGCAGCCCCCACACCGGCACCACTTCCACGACCACCCCCGTCCGGTCCAACACGTTAAACACCGCGCATCGCCGCTTTAATTGCGCGGGGTGTGCGTTTGGTTTGTCACGCTCGATGGACTTCCTCCTCTTAAGTCCGTTCTCGTTTCCACTGCGATAAGTCCGCGATGCGAGGGGGCCAGTCAATGAACTGTGCGGAGAGAGCGAGCGAGTTCAGCGAGCGAGCCCGCCAGTAATTGTCGAGGTCTGGAGGGCACGTGGCTTTAAGTGGTGATTCATGCCCCCTTCCGATGGACGACGGCGTCTGTGGCCCAGACCGAGCGGTGGGGTTGGTAAACCGCAGGGAAGGCCAGGGACAGGGGTGGGAAGTTTAAGGTGCAGCCCTGCAATAGTCTTGCTCATGCTACTGCTGGCGGAAAGGACATCCCACCAGGGGGAGCTCTAGAACGCCCCTCGAGTCTGCAGGAGTATTTTGGACTCCTCTTCTCACGTTCAGCCCAACGATTTGGCAGTGGATGGGAGTACCCACATCTTGCCCCGCCACACGCCACCTGCCCATCACTTATCTTGTGCTCCGTTAAGAGGCAGAAACGGAGTAAAATATTAAGTTAAAAGGGTCTTGATGGAATGAGCCACTGGGTCCTTTTCTGTTTGCACATAGTCACATAGTCACTTTAAGATGTTGTCTTGTTCATGTTCTTTGTTTGTTGCGCTTGCACCCGATTCAAGAGCCGAATGGCTCACAGGGCTATACCAAATAAATGAAACTGAAAAAAACTGAAAGTGAAAAAACAGTGGGATATCAGTCGTCCTAAACCCAAACTAGGCAGACACTCTCGCCGGCTCACCACAGCTTATCCCGGCCCGAACGGGGTTGGGTCATCTTGATTAAAAAAAAAACTAAATAAAATAGCGGACGTCTCCTTGACCTATCGATTTTCTTCACATGTAAATAAATCAATATGTACACAACCAATCAGCTACAGGGCCTTCTGGAAGTGCGAAAATTGATTCAAGACGAGCAAAATTCCTGACCGGGTTCGATCCAGAGTGTGGAAGCAATACCTTTAATGTGAAGGTATACGAGGGCGAGTATGGCATATTTAATTCGTAATTTACATTCTGCACAACGACTACCGATTATCTTGAGTCATTAACAACGTCTGCGAGTTTCTGTCTCCCAAGGGTGTGTATGTATGCGGCGTGACCAGTCTCTTGTCAAAAATATTTTGCCCATTTCGAGTTTTTTTCTCATCTGAAAATTATAATAATTAACCATAGTGATGATAATATGGGAGTTTGTTGGAGATAATGGTCTGGGGTATTCACAAGCTGGTATGACTTGTCACATTTCCATTTAGAAAAAAAAAACATGAACAGACAAAGGTCTGTCTGATTATTTTATTATCATTTTAAAAACATAAATACCGCAGTAAGAGCCTCACGACACGAGTTCAATTCCGCGCCACGAATACCATCAGTCCCCGCACCTCCGATCAGCACGGCTGGCTCCGTACGGTGCGGAAGAAGTTCATCACACATGCATCGGTGGCGATTGATATCTAAACTGATCCCCCCCCCTCCCTTTACAAACCCGTACGAACCAACGCGGTGAATGAAGTGTTTTAGAATCGCCGTGGCACAATTACTAAAGTGCCATTTGCAATTTTCCAAGTCATCAATCATGGTCATCTCTTATCTTCCGCGCCAGCGTCATCTCCTCCACCCCCCATCAACCCCCCCCCTCCGTGCCCCCACCCCCTATCCTCCCCCATTCCCCCCAGTTGGCCTTCCCCCAGATGCCCCAAACTTCACCTCATGCAATAAGCATCCGCCGCCTGTGCTCCGTGGCCTAGTCCACGCACCCTCCCGTGCCCCAAGTTCATCCTCGTTAACGTGAACGCACCGCGCCAACGAGATCTCGCAACACGTTTACACGTCGCACCAGGTACTCGTTTAAGGCTGAGTCGACCTAAGAGAGGCCCCTGAGCCAGTTCAGATACAGCACCGATGCTGGCAGTGAGCGGGATTCGAACTTGGATCACCGGGTCCTGAGCGCAATATGGTAACCACCAATACGTAACTTCCGCTCCACTGTACACAAAAAATGCAAAGATCCCCAATGTAGCCTTACAAGACGGTCGGGGCAAGTGCTGTTAGCGAGTGTGACCCAACACGCCGGCACGGCGCACGAGAAGGGGTAGTGTGGTCAGCACCACACGCGGCCGCCTTTGTCTCCACAGTGGCGATGTTTCCACATCGCACTCGATAATCGTTTAAGGCTGAGTCGACCTAGTGGAGGGCCCAGGAACCGGCACACACACGTATATATACATCGCACGCAGACATTCTAAGCGCCACCTCTTTAGGCATGCTTGCTCGATGAATCATGCACACAAAGACAAAGATCCCCCGTATAGCCTGAACAGACTGTTGGGGCAAGTGCTGTTAGCGAACACCTATAAAGGCCAGCACGGCACACGAGGGAGTTGGTGGCCAATACCAGTGGCAATGTTTACGCATCAGGTACTCATTTGAGGCCAAGTCGACCTAGGGGAGGCCCATGACCGGTTCAGATAATCGTCACTGTGTTGGCTGTGAGCGAGAATCGAACCCGGGACGCTTAGTAGCGCAGCGTAGCGCTATATCCGCTACACTACCGCTCCTCATGCACACTCACGCACTCGCACACACACACACCCAGAGAGGGCAAATACCCCATGTATTTATGACAAAGAGTTGTTTGCGAGCACCCATTAAGGCTGAAATGTCCAACGAGGGTGTAATTGTAACCGGCACCGCACCCTGTCGCCTTTTGTCTCTCCATTGTTCCATGCTCGCTCGTCTGAGGCTAAGTCAACCTCGGAGGCAATGACCAAATCATCTGGGGCTAAGTCAACCTCGGAAGCTATGACCAACTCATCTGAGGCTAAGTCAACCTCGGAGGCAATGACCAAATCATGCTGAGGCTGAGCCAACCTCGGAGGCTTTGACCAAATCGCCCGGATTGCGCCAGAACTCACCGGATGCCGGAGGCTAAGCAGGTCTTGAGCCTGGTGAGTGCCTGGACGGGCAATCACCGTGCACTCCGTGCCAATGATTTGGAGCTGCTGCTGCTTCGTTGGTAGTGGTGCGCAGGCACGAACAAAACTGAACATATTCGTCAAGAACAACACTGTGCGTGGCCCTAACAGGAAAACATATACAATAGGCGACGTTTCTGGCAATGGGCCATCACCTTCACAGCACATAGGCCAGGGAGGCAGATGTTTTAATCTATAATAGACAGGCGTTGTAGGCTGATGTTGGTGCAACACAGTGCGTTGTTGTGCTGTGCTATGCTGCTGTGTTTACACCCCCCCCCCTTCCTCCTCTTTCACCAACTGACCACCGTGGTGAAGTATAGTCAAACAGCCCGCACGGCCCAGGCCACGTCCAAGACGCCAGTGACAAGGCGGTGTTGACCCTCGCCGGGAATCTAACCCGAGTTGGTTGTCGCGTTTGCGTGCCGGGTTCCCAATTAAGGCCGAGTCGACCTAGGGGGGGGGGGTGACGGCCTGAGCGCGAATGGAAATTAGGTTCACGGGGTTCGGAGTGCGATGTGCAAACACACCATGCTCCACCCCCACACACAAAGATGGTCATATAGCCTAAACGGACTGTCGGGGCAAGTGCTGTTAGCGAGTAGCACCTATCAAGGCCGGCACGGCCACACGAGGGGTGGGTGGCCAGCAACCACGCCCGGCCGTCTTTGTCTCTCCCAGTGCCGATGTTTGCTACACACCGCGCCGGGTACTCATTTAAGGCCGAGTCGACCTAGGGGAGGCCCAGGACCGACTTACATATTCGTCACTGATGTTGGTGTCCAGACACAGAACTCGGCGTTCCCCCACCCACCCACCCCACCCACCCACCACCCCCACCACCCTCTCTTCGCCCCTTTTCTCCCCCACCCTCTCCTGATCCCTCCCCCCCAGGTCCCCCCCCCCAGCCCCCCCCCCACCACCACCACTCTCTTGTCGCCCCTCTTCTCCCCCACCCTCTCCTGACCCCCCCTACAGGTGCATGCCGCGTGACAGATTTTGTTCGGGTCACCATGGCGGGCGGGGGGGGGGGGTCAGGTAGACGCGGGCCGACCCGCAGCGCGTATATAACGTGCAGCCGCCTGCCAGTGGCATGACATACAACCAGCCAGCCTTCCTCATCCAGATACCCAACTCTTAAGGGGCCACACGCCACCACCGCCACCACCGCCACCACCGCCACCACCGCCACCACCACCGCCGGCTTCCTGCTCGCAACGCCGCCTTGACAAGTCGGAACGAGGTAAGGGGGCACCACGCTCCCCCGCTCTCCCACCCCCGTGGGAGACGTTCGACTTCACCTCGTCTCCCGGGGTGCGCGTCTTACTTTCACGGGAGCGTCTTCCGTTTGGAGGAATACGGCACCACGCGCATGCTAAATACGAGATAATGGGGAGAAATTGTAGAGGAGGTAATCACTTACCAATCTAAGAAAAATGTCGAAAATCTCCGCATCGTTTCCACACTGTTCAGTCACGTGCTTAGAAGAGAGTAACGAGGGGTCCCCAGTGGTAATCATCGGGGCATCTCTAAATGGATAATCGTAGAATGATTACGAGGCTTAATTGATTAATTGGCGTGCTTTGATTGAGCAAGGGGCACACCTGTGAGTCGTCTCTCCTGCACTGAAGGACCGAGAAAATTGGATTTGCTTTGTTTACGTTTGCGCAAGTCGATTCATTTTACAGTTTATTTTTGGACAGAGAGAAAACAAAATACGTAAGTGAAATGATCCGCGAGCTTCCGATCTCAATAATGTACGAGAGCTCACCGCTGGCGAAAGGGAATTGGCCAAGCGTGCCAATGTAGCAGGACCCTTCTGATAACGCAAGTTTTGAGACTCATCGGTGAGGCTCTTCCTGTGAGAATTATATAACCATCATCGTGTGTGGGACAAGGTATAATCTTCACCGAAGGTGGTTAATCCATCTGGCCACGAAACCCACTGTGATCGTGAGTTTACCGAGAACGAGGAAGGCTCTGATCTTAAAACGCGATGGCGAGATGTTGATTCCGTCGCCTGGTTTGCAGGAGGTCATGGGGGGTTCGATCCCGACCCTGACGCCTGCGATATATGTGGAGTTTGTGTGTCTCTCTCCCCGCGGCCGTGTGGATGTTTTTTCTCCGGGTCCTCCGGCTTTCCTTCCCTCCACATTTAGAAACGTGCGTTTATAGTGTTTGCCTGCTCAACATTTTCCCATGGCAAGCCACGTCGTTGAGCTATCATTTGCGATAGCTTGGTCGCTTCTGAAACATACATATACAGCTCAGTCGGCCCACACCTGGTAAAATAAAAATAGTTTCGCTTAAACAAACAGAACGCGACGACTCATCTTGCATGCCGCACGCGCTCAACTTCGACGCTGTCATCCGTCACTCCGTGCGTGCAGTGCAGATGAGAGCGAGATAATTAATGACAACACTCATCATCATCATCACACTGCAGGTATGAATACTTTCATCGAATAATATTTGTTCATTCGAGTAAAAAAAACTTTGGAAAAATCTATTAGACTACTAGGCAAATCTTCTTGATGAAAAACGAAAATGTACACACAAGACGCAAATAAAATGTTTCATCGTGCCATCATTATCTCATCGTCCGACCGGCGGATTCATAGCGCAATGCGCACACCACTACGCCACAGCTCCGTCCGATCGCAACATAAAACACTCCTTAAGATCAAGTTCGCCAAACGTCTCAATTCACTACCTTCCTGAAAGAGACCAAATTACTGCCTCTTGTGAATGGCATCAATTTGTTGATGGTATCACCAATAAAACGTTGTCAAGGAAAGGCAAGGATAAGATAACTGGACCACGATTCACCCTGGCCATTCCTCAACATCCACGGTGCCCGACTGATGAGTCGCAAGGTCAAGATGAGACAATGGGATCGGCTGGGGTGGAATGGAACGCGAGCGTGGGGGACCCAACCTTGAGCAAGGTTCCACCAACTTACGAGTTGGGAAAAGGAAGGGGAAAACCAACGAGCAGGTGGTGGGAGAGACTGGGAGGGCAGCTCGTGGAGGGCGCTGCGTGTCGACTGGACATCTGTGAAAAAGAGCTTTATAGCTCATCGGATTTTTGCAGTATATATACCGATTCTGATACTGCTGCTGTGGGGGGTGGGGGCGGTCGAGGGCAGAAAGCGTTGGCGACAAAAAAAGCGGTGGCGCCATCGACGGCGTTGGCTCCCCACGACGACCTCGCAAGACAGTGAATGACAGAATATTTGTCAAAAGCATCTCAGAGTGAGATATTAATGCGAAATATGTATCTACCCCCCCCCCCCCACCACCACCGCTTCACCACAGCCATGGTCAGCATCACGCGCACGGCGCTGGGAAGCATTCTGCTCATCAGCATTGCGCTGCCCCGCGCAGTCTCTTCCTCGCCCGTGTTCGAGACCTACAGCTACGACAGGTGAGTCGCGGCGCGGGGGGGGGGGGGGCAGAGGGCGCAGACCAAGACACAGGCACGCGCACAGACGTACAAAAGACAAAGATCCCCCGTGAAGCATTAACAGACTGTTGGGACAAGTGCTTTTAGCGAGTAGCAGCACCTATTAAGGCCGGAATGGTACATGAGGGGGTGGGTGGTGAGCACCACGCCAGACCGCCTTTGTCTCCCCAGTGGAGATGTTTGCAACACCGCACCAGGTACTCATTTGCGGCTGAGTCGACCTAGGGGAGGCTCAGGACCGGTTCAGATAATCGAATTTATCCCAGGTCGCCGGGTTCAGGGCGCAGCGCGCTAACCGCTACACTACCGCTCCCAAAACACACATGCACCCACCCACACACGCACCCACACGCACCCACACACACACACGCACCCACACACACACGCACGTGCTCAGGCGCAGGAGAGCGGATGCCCATCGCTGCAGGAAGCTAGACGGGTTATGAGTTACATCGCGGGGCCCGAACAGGCGGCGACGGCTCGGGGCCGCGAGGAGTCGTGCCCTTGACCCAGCCAGTGCAAAAAGTAATTGTTTTGCATAGGATGATGGTGGTGGTGATGATGGTGATGATGGTGATGATGGTGATGATTGTGATGATCATGGCGATGATGATGATGGTGGTGGTGATGGTGGTGATGATGGTGGTGGTGATGATGGTGATGATGGTTGGTGGTGGTGATGGTTGGTGGTGGTGATGGTGGTGATGATGTTGATAGTGATGATGGTGATGATGGTGATGATGTTGATAGTGATGATGATTATGGTGGTGAAGATGGTGGTGATGATGATGATCATGGCGATGATGATGGTGGTGGTGGTGATGGTGGTGATGATGTTGATAGTGATGATGGTGATGATGTTGATAGTGATGATGATTATGGTGGTGAAGATGGTGATGATGATGATCATGGCGATGATGATGGTGGTGATGATGATGATGACCGCAGCGTTCCCGCGGAGGAGGCGCGGGTCGAAGAGGCGGAGCCCTCCTGGTCAGAGGCGGAGGCGAGGAACGCGAAGAGACACTCGGAGGGGACGTTCACGAGCGACTACAGCAAATACCTGGACACGGTGCGAGCCAAGGACTTCGTGCACTGGCTCATCGGCACCAAGAGAGGCCGGTAAGGACACCACCACGAGACCCCCCCCGCCCCGCCCCCCGCGGTCCCTCTCTCGGGGGGGGGGGGGGGGCGTATACAGGGCCGGATGAACTCAGAGGCGAGGGGGGAGGGGGTTAGAGGCTGTAGCCCAGAACCTCGGAATGAAGGACCCAGAATAAAACTATATATTTTTTAAACTATTTTCTTTTATCTTGCCAGGTAAATCCCACTAAGCTAATAGCTTATTTTTCAGCAGCGACCTGGCAACGCGAATAATAGCTCAACGAAGTGGCTTATCATCACGTGCAAATTGATGTCAGCCAAATCCCCTAACACACGTGTGTTTAGTCTAATTGTGGACGGTAAAAACCGAAGGACCGGGATAAAAAAAAATTCCAGGCGACCACGGGGAGAGAGACACGCAAACTCCAAATAATACAGCAGCAGGCGTCAGGGTCGGGATCGAACCCACGTCCTCCTGCATGGCAGGCGATGTAGTTAACATCTCCTAGCCACCGTAATGATGATGGTGAGAAAGAGAGAGACACGTAGGCTTTCGAGAACAATATCATCCATAAGCGTTTTGTTGGGTTAGATCGCGTAAATATATAAATGTGTCGTTAATTCTGGCTGTCGCCTGATGAAGCTAGTTGTAATTACTGGCGAAACGTCGTACTCAGACTGTAAATGTTGTGGCTTGGCTCTCCAACACACCGGTGTGCTGTACTAGTGACGAATTGGCCACGTCCTGTTTACGTGACAACCCTTACTAGTTGGCTGTGTCGAGTGGTGGCGGGTTTTAACGACACATTTATATATTTACGCGATCTAACCCATATATACAACAGGCGTCAAGGTCGGGATTGAACCCACGACCTCCTGTATAGCAGGCGAGGGAGTCAACATCTTCTAGCCACCAGGCAGCGCCTCCAGTCTAGAAAGCTCCTCTCGTATTGATCCGACAGGGCGATACCGATGGCGTGTTTGACATCGGGCACTGGTGATGGTGAAACAATGAAGGGAAGGAACTGAACATACATCATCAGACTCTGTATTGAGACTGCAGGAGGAATCCGATGAGCTATGAAGCTCTTGTTCATAGATGCCCCGCATGGGGCGGGTCAGCAGGTTTACAACAGCAAACAAATCACAACATACGAATACTTAATCAGTTATGTAAGTCCGATGTATCAAGCTTTGGCAAGGCAGCAAAAACAAGACCAAAGCAGTCCGAGACCACAACCAAGATACCACCACACACAGCAGGAGTCTCTCAATAAAAATGGCACGCGAACACTGCACTACTATCGATACACAGGTAAGGATCGATGTTCATAATCGCATCTATATATTTAAAAGGGTAATTTGTGAATATGTGTGTCTGTTCGAAATGTTTAGCATACTTCCCAACATGCAACAAAGTTAACATTTGGAATGTGGGTAGCTTCCAGACTGAACACAATGTAAAAAGTATAAAAGTAGACTTTTGTATTTGGGGGGAGGGGGCGCAATAATGGATATATTTTGCACGGCAAGTGAGCGGTGACGTCACATCTGTGATGTTACCCGCATGCGGCAGCGTCACGCATTGTGCATTCTGACGTCACGCAATCCAAGTCTCTGGCGACGCCGGGTAGTAGTGCTCGTTTACAATATAGAAGAGCCCCGTGCCCCTTGCCCCCTGCCCCCTGCCCCTAACTCCCCTCGTGGTGTCCACGTCAGAGCCCCAGCACGGCGGCAGGCGGAGGAGAAGCGCCACGCGGAGGGGACGATCGCGAGCGACTACAGCTCCGTGCTGGACGGGAAGGCGGCCAAGGACTTTGTCGACTGGCTCGTGAGGAACAGGGGCCGCGGCAAACGCGAGTACGAGACCGGAGAGCCACCACTCATCCTAGCTCCACCACTCTCCTAGCTCCACCACTCTCCTCGCTCCATCACCCCTCCTCGCTCCACCACTCTCCTCGCTCCACCACCACTTCTCGCTCCATCTCCTCGCTGCATCTCCGCGCTCCATCTCTTAGCTCCACCATTCTTCGCTCCATCTCCTCGCTCCATCTCCTCGCTCCATCTCCTCGCTCCATCTCCTTGCTCCACCACCTCTCGCTCCATCTCCTAACTCCACCACTTCTCGCTCCATCTCCTAACTCCATCACTCCTCGCTCCATCTCCTAGCTCCATCTCCCCGCTCCACCCCTTCTGACGCAATCTCCAAGATCTCTGCTCCTATCTTCGTCACACTTCACTCGGTCCGCCGGCTCACTGTAAAAGCTCCGTCTCCCAGCAACATCGCACCACGACCCACCACACCGAGCCCCACCTCCTGCCTCCACCACACTCCGCTCCATCTCGAGTCCTCTTGCGTTCTCAGCTGGTTAGACAAAATCCACTCGACTCCACTCCGTAGTTCCACAGCCAGCTGCGTTAGCCTGCTCAATCTGCCGCTCGATTTCCACCATCATGCTCTGTCAGCTGCTCCATCATCCTCACCCGATAAACGATCGGACAGACGATCGTATGCATCTGTTGTGTGCGTAAGAATCACTCTCAATCCACGAATCATGAATCATTAATTCAGCACCTCTACCGGGAGCTGTCCAGTGCTGAACTAGATTTGAAGCTTTCGTGACTGCAATGATTCATAATATTAGTTCTTTCGGTAAAGTCACGTAGGTAAAAAATGAAATAAAGATTAATAAAAATAAAACAATGAAAATCACGACGTTTCGGAGGCAACACAAGTCTCCGTCATCAGGTGTGACCGTTACAGCTAGTCACAGCTAGTCTGGCTGTGATTTTCATTGTTTTATTTTGTATTAATTTTTATTTCATTTTTTACCTACGTGACTTTACCGAAAGAACTAAGATTATCAGTGCTGAACTCTCGAATGGCGAAGCATGTGATGATTTATCGATTAAGATCAATGCGTCGATTAACACATGCTTCCCTTTTCAATGGACGGGCTTGTAAACAGCAGCCGAGGCATTTGGTGAGGCAGTGAACCCACTGCATACCGCGTGGTCATACTCTGCACACGCGGGGGGGGGGGGGGTATTATGACGTGAGGGGTGTCTGAGACGAACGTGATAACTCGCGAAACATCATTGTCCACAAGGCAGGCTTCGCTTGAGAGATGGATTAAGGAGACATGATAATAGGCAACGTTTAAATGTATCTGTGTTTTTAAGAAGAAGACGACGTGTTGTTATTTGAACCGCATGGTGGAACCCCGGGGATCCCCAATAAACAGAAGTCAAAATCTAAATTATATATATTTTTGGCGACTCCGTCCCACCGCGCACGTAAACGCAGCGAGACCCACCAGAAATCAATCCTCTCGTTCTTCACCCAGCAGCACTCATCGTTGACAAAATTGCCGTAGTCATAAACACAACTTTAAAACGTTTTATTAGAGCATCGTGTAGAGCTTGTCGAGAGGAATAGAGCACAGTATCGTTCGCCTTCAACAGACATAAATTGACGTCGCAACGCAGTTGATGCGAGAGCCGGGGGCTTATGGGACCCCGGGGGATTATGGGACCCCGGGGTCCCCGCCATAAGCTTTGTTTTGGTTGCACCGCTTCTAACGGCAGCTGCACCACAAATGATAGCGCGGTGTGCGCCGAAATGACGAAATCAAACAAAAACTGTCGGTCGAGTGACGCAGCGAAGCTCACGATGGTCGTCTCGGTGTGTGCCGGGCGGCTCGTCACGTGCTCCCAGAACGCACGATTCGAGCGACGTTTAATTCGAAGGCGGTGACGCGTCGTGAAATGACGCCATTCACATTTGGAATTCACACAGCCTGTGTCGGAGGCCCCATTATTCACGCCTTGTATATGAATGTCACAAGCCCTGGAAACAATCTCTGTCGTATATTAAACTCGCAATTTTAATATTCGGAGCTGGAAGTGAACCGATCCAGCCCATCCCTTCCATGCCTCCCTACCATCATCCCTCTCACATCCACCAGCCCTACAAGGTCCGCCCGTCCCTCACATTAATTCCACTCCAATGTCTTCCCATCCCTCCCAATCCCCCCTACCCCTCCTATTCTTCCCATCCCTCACAATCACTTCTACCCCTCCTATTCTTCCCATCCCGCGGGCCCCAGGCTCCTGAGCGATCAGGACGCGATGCTGGACTCGGCAGCCCTGGGGGGCGCGGAGGAGGAGAAGGAGGGGGAGGAGGAGGAGGTGGTGGGGCCCATGCCGAGGGTGAGTCCCGATTCGGCGGAGCTGAGCTTCATCCTGGAGCAGCTGTCCACGCAGCAGCTCATGCGGCTCCTGCAGAGCAGCGGGGGGCCCTGCGAGCCCTCGTGAGTGCCCCCACCTCCCCCCATCGCACAGGGAGCACCCCACTTGCTACGCGTCTGTCTGCGTGTGTGTGCATCTCCATAGGTGCTACTCGCAAACAGCACTTGCCCCAACAGTCTGTGAAGGCTACACGGGAGATCTTTGTATTTGTGTCCATCTCCAAGTGCACCTAGCATGGCACAAGCGCCCTGGGTGACGAGTGATGAATGTGCGGCTGTCATTGTGGTTGGTGTGTCAATCTCTCTCTCTGTCCCTGTCGTCGTCTGTCTGTGTTGGCGAGTCTCCGTCTCTTGGCGTGTATTTACGCGCCTGTTTCTCGGTGTCGAACTCCCGGAGTCTTTGCGTGTTAAACAAAAACTAAAGCCCCCCCCCCCCCCAAAGGCGTCGATGATCGCAGCGGAGCGGAATGCGTCGAATCTCGTCACACCTGGGTGAGCCGAGCGGGGCGGGGGGGGTGCTTGAGCCTGGATCGTGATTGGATGGCGCGAGGCCATCGCGCACGTGCCGTCGCTGCGGGGCAGCAGAGGGCAGTACGGCGACATCCATTGTTGTACTCCACTTCTACGATCCCGCGACCGTTTCTCGCCGCCTCCATTGACGGCGTGGGTGAAGTGTGGTCAAATAAGCCTCCGCATGGCGCGGAGAGGAGTCACAAAAGGGCTTTGTATGCATCGACTCGTTCCGTCTCGGGGCAGTCGGACGTTGATCTCTCGCCCCCTTTGTCGTTCGTTCGCAGGAGTCGTGGCGCCTTCGCAGACTGACTCGGCCCCGGCACCGCAACGTCCAAAATTGCTCCGTTCCCCACGCTTCAACTGTCCCCCCCCCCTTCCCCCGCCAACTTCGAGATCACTCGCCGATATTGCTGACACACACACACACAGCTCGCTCGTTCACTACCACTCCTAATCAATCTTTATTGATAATATTCTTATGGCTTCATTAAATAAAAGGCGTGAAACTGCCTTTGTCTAAATCTAGCCTCATAGCGGCTCCTTCTTGGTGTGCTCTGTGTACATTGCACCTACGCCCAGCCGCCTTTGTCTCCCCAGTGCTGATGTTTACACACACATAACACTAATCGCACAAAGCAATTATTGAAGTCTACGTCGATCTAGGGGAGGCAGGGGACAAGGTCTGATATCATTCGCCGGTGATGTTAGCCATGGTCAGGAATCGAACTCTGATCGGTGGGCTTGGAGAGGAATGCGCTAACCGCTGCGCTACCGCCCCCACACACACACACCTGTAATGCGTGGCTAGCAGGTGTGGTACTCATGATTCTAATAAAGTATTTTTTAATTATGACTCGCGTGTACCGGACTACTTGTGTGCAGATCTGTCAAGATCGCAACGGGGGCATTTCTGGCTAAACCCAACCAGCGATGAAGCGCCGCGGAGAGGCAGTGATGGTGGTAGCTGGATTGTTATTTCGCGAGAGACGTGATGGCGACGATTTTGGGATGGGGAAGGCCTGAGCTCGAGTCCAGCAGTGGATAGATCACGGCTGGTGATGATCACGATAAGAGGTTTTAGGCTTAGTGGCCGAATCAGGATGCGAATCCACGCAGCCTTGTCTGACGTGGTGAAGTATGATTTGACCCAAAACGCGTCTCGTCCCACGGCCACCCCCTCACGATGTTCCCTCTCGCACCGAAACTCTACCACTCTCTACCAAGCCCCCATCCCATCCCCCCTCCCCCCGTGCCCCCTAAACCTCACCCGGTCACTTCGCCTCGGCTTAATGATGCCTCTCAGCTTTGACGGATCGCACTTTGACAGCCGCCGTGGCACGAACCCCCCCCCCCCCCACCCATTGCTCTTCCTGCCCCTGCCACCAGGTGTCGTGCGTAATGAGAACCGGTTCGTAACTCGAACTCGGACCCGTCACACTCCGTTTGCGCCCTCTTCACACCGCGTCCAAATTTGGGATCCGGCGACAAACGCGCGCGTGCAGCCTGCGTCGTGGTGACGCAGTCAATGGCACGCTTAATGAGCTATGCGGATGACGGACGTCTAGGGACCTACATTGCTGTGACAGCTGGATTAATTAAATGCTCAATTAATCGACACGTGAAATTACACAACACCCCCCCACCCACCCATCCACCCTCACCACCACGTGGCATCGAAGGGACCTTAATGACGGAGCCACGGAATAAAGGCAGAGCCGAAATGTTCAGTCACGTGGGCCCTGTCATTGTCACATGCCACGTGTTCTTAATTGGCTGTTTTGTCCTCATTATAAAACAAAAACATGAAAGCATTTCATGCGGCGGGGTGGAAGGATCGCAGAGACGCTATCGAGAATGCAACACGGCAGCCAAGTAGACGACTGGACAGCAAATGGTGGGTTCGTGAATCCGTCTGTGTGGATGGTTGAGCGTTATCTCATTTTCGTGGCGGATTTTCTCAGGATGCTCCCACTTTCCTCCCACAAGAAGCAGCACACCCCTTTCTTTTTTAGAGGGTCAATCCCGATCTGAACGCAGGATGCTTCTGAATAAAGTCTCCAGACTGAGGCTTTCCGAGGCGAATAATTGGCATAAAATAATAATTGTCAAATTGTGGTGAATGGCGCGGTACACCGCTCTTAATGTGCAGCCAGCTGAGTGGACATTGCCTGGTCACATCATGCAGGTCACATCATGACTCACACTTATTGGCCATGTAAATAAAGCAGTGCCACCGATTTGACACTTCAGGTGGTACACGTGTGTATTCCCTGTCCCAGGGACTAACAGCGCCCTACCACTAATGACGCTGCGTCTCACGGGACAGAACGGTCTCGCGGTGGCTAGAGCATCGCGATACGCACTCGGCGACCCGAGTGGCGAGTCATATCTGACGCGACTCCGCGTGCCCCATCACGAGCGTGACAAAACACGGCCAAACAACCCCGAGCATTGAATTGATCCAGGCCTGTGCATTTTTGCTACAATTCTAAATGTGTAAACAAATAACTGATGCTGCTGCTGCTGCTGTTTGAGTGATCACGCATAATTTAAAATACGTTTGTTACATGTCAATGCAAAGTGAAAGCTGCTGCTACTGCTACGGCTCTTGTGGCATCATGGAACACGAGGGGATGGGAATTAAATACTCGATGACGCTAGCAGCCGCATACCAAAAATATTCATCTTGCCGAGAGCCACGAGGCACATTGAGTCGCGAGGAGCGGGTCACAAGCGGTGGTCACGTGGTGTGGTCATGCGGCCGTGTAGTTTTTAATTTTAGAAATCTGTGGAAGCCTCCCGGGAGTATTCCTGTCTGGCACCGCTGCCACGCACAAGTGCCACGGCCTGTTCCCGCAGATTTTTTTTTCTTGAAGTTCAATTGACGGGTTAAGAATTATAGCTGCGTCTCCGTCGAGTTGCGTCAATTTGACCACCACCAATTATGATATTATGTTTATACTGTATACTAATGTGTGCTTATATAGTACTGTAGCGTCATTTGTACAACTAAATATCGCAATTATGTGCAATCCGCAGCACGCGGAGACGCGTAGATTAATGTGTTGCATGCCAATTATGATGAGTGTTTATACGTGTGGGAGGAAACGAAGCACCCGGTTCAATTAAAAAAACAATGTCAACACAAAGGGTGAATGTGAGATGGAGAAAATGGAAAATTCTCGTCTCGGCAAAGCGGTTTTTTTTCCAATCACGTAACTTTGTTTTTAAAAGAACAAAACACACCCCCTTGTCCGCCACGGTGTTCAGAGGGCTCGTGTTTATTCCAGTCGGGTCATTTCTGACAGTTACGATGATGATGATTCTGTTGTTGTACACGAGAGAAGCGAGACGGAAAAAAAACCGAGGTTAAACCGAACACAATCACGTGGACGGGGGTTTCAAACGAGGATAATTGTCGGGAATAATTTGACCTCTCTCTCCGCAGCAGCAGCAGCAGCAACATCGCCGCGTGTGCCAATCAGGGCTAGAGGCGGGATTCGAAATAAACGCAGGACCGTTTGCGAAGACTTCTTTGAATTTCGGAGCGAAAATATGCTTTACCTTTACGTTAGCCAGAAGAGCGGCGATATTTCACAATCCCATTTGCCAAGAGAGATTTGGCAGGCATCCAAACAGAACCACACGTAACGAATAACAGACGCTGTGCGAATTTTAAACAAACAAACCGGACACGCGTGCAAATTCGAATCACTTCACACTGATGGCCTGGTTACCTTTGGCACAAATGGGGGCAATGAGCCAGCACTGCCCGACCAAAGGTGCTTGTATTGACCAAGGCTGCTACCTATGTTTCATATGGAACACTCCAGAACACACCTGTACAGGTCCTCTCAAAGTTCAAGACAAGTAGACGGAATGACCTTCATAAGCAGGTAAGCGCAGTAGATTCATGGCCACGGCTAACATCAGTGGCGAGTGATCTGTGAACCAGTTCTGGGCCTCTCTCCTTCACCAACTAGCACTGACCAGAATGGTGAAGCTATGGCCAATAAATGACCTATGCCGAACATGGGGGAGAGGACCTTCATCCACCATTTGATTGACAAAGGGATGTACGTTATTTATTAATTAAAGGCGCAATGAGAGATAATTCCACTTTGTCGCAGTAAAATAACGTCCAGAGCGTTGGGGAAATTCCACGGACAGCGCAATTCCAGAGGTGACGGCAGAAACGAGGTCTCAGCTCTCCGATGTACATTCGGGTTGCTCCGCGTGTTGTTGGACCTTAGGTCCGACGTTTCGTTCCACGTGCTGGGAAGCTTCTTCGCGATATACAATCGAGCCTAGCTGAGCACGTGGAGCGATGGCACCCCACGTGGTGGTGGTGATGGTGGCGATGGTGGTAGTGGCGATGGTGGCGGTGATGGTAGCGGTGATGATGGCGGTGATGGTGGCGGTGTTGGTGGTGGCGGTGATGGTGGCGGTGGTGGTGGTTATTGGTGGTGGTGGTGATGGTGGCGGTGGTGATGGTGGCGGTGGTGATGGTGGCGGTGGTGATGGTGGCGGTGGTGATGGCGGTGGTGGTGATGATGATGGCGGTGGTGGTGGTGATGATGGCGGTGGTGGTGGTGATGATGGCGGTGGTGGTGGTGATGATGGCGGTGGTGGTGGTGATGATGGCGGTGGTGGTGGTGATGATGGCGGTGGTGGTGGTGATGATGGCGGTGGTGGTGGTGATGATGGCGGTGGTGGTGGTGATGATGGCGGTGATGGTGGTGGTGGTGATGGTGATCGTGGGTTTGGTGCCGATCAACAACCCGAAAACACAGCGGAGAGACACACAGCGCTCTCGCGTGACAACTTGTGGATTGTTATTGTGTCAACGTTTTCAGATCGTTTACCTTCATTGAATATATCCTCTTTATTTCATAAGATGATTAATTTGGCCAGAACTGAGTCTAAACATGCGTGGAATTTCCCGTAAAATCGTTGTGACCTAAATTTAAGGGGGATTTTATCCAGATTTTTTCTACCACAAATCACCGCCATGAATAAAATGTACGACTGGGTCAAAGAACTCTGCTCAAGACAAACGGCGAAGACACGCCGACGCTCAAAAACACGGGCGGCAACTTCGCTTGCGGGGAGAGAGGAATCATTACTCACCAATGATAGACAAGAGATACACACAAATTACACCCACACACCGCAATCATGAACATAAAATAACTAAGAACCTGCTGTAAGGAGAGGACAACAGCAGCGACAGCGTTACGACTCGGCTGTCCGGCCTCGGCCAAGTGTGCCCAGGAACGAGGTCACCAACCAGCCCGCGGCGACGGTCGGCACGGACGGCAACGGGCCCGGGCTCAAGCACCCCCCCCCCCTCCGTCGCCCCCTTGAGGCCACGCGGAAAACCCCCGCAATGCTGTCCCACCTGCCCACCACTACAAATAACAAAGAGTCAACACGTTTGTCAATAGCGTTGCCCTGGAGAGGGTAAATGGGCGACGTTTCGGGGAGGGGTCCTTCTTCATAGCAGACTGAGATAGAGGCCAGATAAATTGAGCCTTGTATAGTCGGGAGACTGCGCGATACTCCACGGGAAAATAATGGAATACCAAAAATAACGGAATTCCAGAGAGCGACTTTGTATTGTCAGACGGAGGTACGAGGGGGGATACTGCACACTTGCGGAGCGAGGCTCACGGGAAGCCCCCCCCCCCCCCCCCCCCCCCCCACTGGCGCGACGGCTCCTCATTGGGGAAAAACCCCCAAGGTAGGAAGGCAAGAGGAAGACAAAGACGGAATTTGTGGTGGGTGCTGGGGCAGGGGAGGGGGGCGGATGATGTTGACAAGTGGACCGTGTGGAGGTGCTGGCACACGCTGACTCTCGACCTCCCCGAGATGAATGACTTCGTTGGACGCACGGTGCCCACCTGACCACCATTACAAACAGACCAGCCCGCAAGGAGGAGGAGGAGGAGCGGGTGGAGGTCGAGACGGGAGGAGGAGGAGGATTGGGGGCCAGGGTGGTGGTGAGCCAGACAAGGCTCGAGACTTATTGCACCAGGTTAACACGTGGTAGGCTTTCAAAACTTTTTGGAGATTAAATATATAAATGTGTCGTTAAATCCGCCACCACTCGACAGCCAACTAGTAAGGTTTGTCACGTAAACAGAACGTGCCCATTTGTTACTAGTACAGCACGCCGGTGTGTTGGAGACCAATCCACAGCATTTACAATCTGAATACGACATTTCACCAGTAATTACAACTAGCATCACCAGGCGGACAAATCTGGCTGTTCACCTGATGATGCTCGTTGTCATTACTGGCGAAACTTCGTACTCAGATTGAAAATGTTGTGGACTTACTCTCCAACACACCGGTGTGCTGTACTCGTAACGAATTGTGCATGTTCTGTTTACGTAACAACCCTTACTAGTTGGCCGTGTCGGGTGGTGGCGGGTTTAACGACACATGTATATGTTTACGCGATCTAATCCCAAAAAAAACCCGTAATATGGATTTATTGCACCACCCAGACGGACGAGGCCACCAAGTAAATATTCGCCGCAGCTGCTCAAACACGACGCAGGGCCCGAATTTCGGTGCGCGGTTACGCAACCACCTCCACCCTGCCGGGCGTCCGAGGTGCTGCGGACGGGGGGGGGGGGGGCGTGGGCAAATCTATTCTGTGGGGAGGGGGGTGTGGGGGGGGCAGATCTATTCTGTGGGGGGGGGGCAGATCTACTGTATTCTGTGGGGGGGGGGGGGGCACGCGAGATTCACTCCGGCGCAGTCAAGGGGTTGACTGTAAACGATGGGTATTAGAGTATGTTACGCGCAGGCCCTTGCCTTGAGCACATCGCAGTCCCTGATGATGAAATTGGGCGGTGTCCTAAAAATAACGCGATAACCCACAGCGCCGTACTGGCCGCAAAGCGTTGAGTTGAGAGAACGATGACTGAGCGGTCTGCAATCACGACCGTACCAAGCAATTCTCTTGTTAGTATCTCAAATAGCCCTTTGTCCTGGTGTCGAGATCAACTGGACACGGGAGGTGACGTATAAACATGACGTAAGATGATGATTATGACGCTGAGAAAATCGAATCATTCAATCATTGTACAGCCACGTGGGAAGATGACACCAAAACACAGGACCAAATGTGGCTTGTAAAAGTCTTCCAAATGAAGTTATAGCATGGGTACCTTAAACATTACACAGGTCAAAGCGGTTGTCCACAACGCCTCTCAAGTTCATTCGCCGTAGCTCACAAACATCGAGCAGCCTTTGCTTGCCACCTCCAACAATGTCAACAATGTCAGTCACGTGGCGAAACAAATTCAGCTTAACGGGTAGCTCAGCTCAACCTGCAATGACCCACGTGGTCATGCGAGAGCAACGTCTCGGGGGGTTCAGGGTCACCGCGAGAGAAGAGGCAGCCTGCCGGTACGGCACGAGGCCCCCCTCGCCTCCACTCACGGCACGGGCCCGTCGATCGGCGTTTCCAACGAGCCACGGGGTCACAAAATACCGCGACAAACACGGGGCACGAGACGACATTTCACGGATCGCGTTGAGCTTCACTCGCACACGCTGGCTGTTCAGAGACGTGTCTGTGAACACTTACAGACTGGGGAGGCCTTCGTCCAGCAGTGGAGTGGCACGAAGCAGAATCTTCGCGCTGCCTTGCTGTGTAAGCCCACCGCCCTCTCGGTTGCGAGGACCCACTACGCTGAGCAACAAGATGCCCGGCCAACACTTTCCCAAAAATCTCTTCCCTCCCCCCCACCGCGACATCTCATTTGCTACACGGGCACAACCTGTTCTGCAGGAACACCCTGCAGGCTGAGCTGCTCGGACTGCGGCGCGCATTGCTCCACTGAGTGGCGGTGTCAGTCAATTGGCAACGGCGGAGCGGACGCCGCCGTGTCGAGCCTCTCTGGTGGAACGCGCGCGGCGTGTGGCGTGTGGCTATCCCGAGACGCGTGGCCGAGATGACCGCGGCCGCCACTGCCACCGACGCATCCCTCAAACGTGACACGGTTCGAATCTTGTCTAAAATGTAAAATTGCAAACAATAAATGCCCATTTTTTTATTTCCCGAAAGTAAAATATTCCACCGTGATTTACCAACATTCCCGTGGTGTTGCAGCATCACGTGTGCGGTTGATGCTCACCGATGGCATGCCGCTGTTATTGCTATTGTTATTGCTGTTGTTATTGCTGTTGTTATTGCTGTTGCTATTGTTGATGTTATTGTTGTCAGCCTGTAACTTCGCACTGTTGGGAAAATGCCTGCCCCCCCCCCCCTCATCCATTATCCTCCCATTCCCCCCTTACTCCTGTCCAGCAGCG